GCTGTATAGGTTTAAGAAGAGGAACAAGATCACCAACATCGGCCATTGCGGTGAGGAAGCTAGTGCTGACCGTATGCTAGAGATTTTCCCTCCGCTTACGTGATTGGTGAGAAGGATAAGTACACTGACGACCAGGTGCTTAATATGGACGAATCGGTCTTTTCGGAAAAAAAGTTACTCAAGACCTTCGTCCAGTCTGCCAGCAAGCGTAAGGGTCGGAAGTTGCAGAAGCTGAACGACACCGCCCCAGTTTACCACCAATGCCTCCGGTACCTGTAAACCAAAGTTATCGGTGATTCACAGTTCGCAAGCCGCACGCCATTAAGAATATGGACATGAACAAGCTTAATGTCCATCACAACTGCGACGAAGGCGGATGTCCTTCTTTTCTCTTGTCCTCTTTCTGGTTTGATAACCGTTTTGTTCCTGACGTGCAGAAATTTAAGTGAGCAAACAGAATGTTCCATTCAATATTTTTGTTGTTTCCTTGACAACGACCTGGACACTCGCCTACTTAGTGGATCGTCACCTCTAACGTAAAAGTGGGCCTTCCTTCCTCCCAACACTTTGGCCGCCATTAATCCAGCCTATGACCAGGAGTTGATCAATGTGAAAGCTAAAGATTTGCAAAGAAGTTCAAGCTCGAACGACTTACCAACACCAAGGATGAGTTATGCAGCTGGGTGACAATTCTACAGCCAGAGCAAAAGCCATTTATGACAAGGAACAAAGAGGCGAAGCATCAAGAACTTCGTCAAACAATTTGGAAGAAGTTTAACGTTAAACAAGCCAGACTTCTTTGGTGAGGCATGGGATCTGCTGACCATTGCTACTTAATTGGCCACGCGATGGAGACATGTGCTGCGCCGGGCATACCAGGTAAGAGGAGGAGTGAACCCTGTAGACTGGTGATAACGCACTGTTGCAGTAGCAGTGGATCTTGCCAGAGAAGCTGCACTCAATATTACAGCTGAAGGCTTCTCCTACATCACCAACGTAATATTGATACTGTGGGAGGTGATCAAAGATCCTGAAGTGAATGTTTACTTGTGATGTTGGAAGAAGAAACAACAGTAGTGAGGAGGAAGAAAAGCGCCATTCTCCAAGAACCTAGTTTAAGCTAAGGTGATATTATGTGTCATAGAGTTTACAGAAAATTAAGTCCGCCCTTTCTCATGTATAAATAATGACGATGTAGAACGCCAGAAGTCTTCCATACTCCGACTGGTGCAGGCCAGGAGCCGTACATCAAGGTGTATCACGACAATATCAATACCAGCCGCCAGCAAAGCATAATCAGATCTTCGCCTCAAGAACTCACCACAGCCGCCAGCCCAAGCCAGTGATAGGAAAGTGAAGTTGACTTTTGAGGGATTTAATAGGAAGCCTCACAACTGTAAGTGACAGTGATGTTGGATTCACCTAGTACGGTAGATTCACCTGAGGGCCAGTAATCTGCTCCCTCTGCTCTCGAACCAGCCTCCATCCCCGTGATGCTTCTAATTATCTTCTACTACCGTAAGTGTTCCACCTAACTTTTAGTTTCTTAGGTAACCTTTCATTTTTCCTATGTTAACCTTTATCTTTCCTAACCTAACCTCTCTTCTATATTACTTGTTTTTTTCATACCATATAAAAGTTAAGATAGAATTTTTACTACTACAACATAGTTATGTGTCGTCAAAAAGTGGTCACTATATATATATATATATATATATATATATATATATATATATATATATATATATATATATATATATATATATATATATATATATATATATATATATTATATATATATATATATATATATATATATATATATATATATATATATATATATATATATATATATATATATATATATATATATATATATATACAGTACACAGATGGTGTTACGATGCCTCACTATTGGTGGATCTTTATATATGTTGGACTTTATTGGTTGTCGGCATCTATATATAGAATTTTTTTTTATTGGGTATTCTCTCGGTCACCCCTGCTGCTATCTAAGGGTTAAGAAGCTGATCAAAGGAGGTGGAAAGGATTTTTTATCCCTTACCTCTTCCTCTTGGCCATAAACTGGAATTTCATGCAGCAGACATTGGTTTCTACAGTTCACTTGACAAAAAGACCTAAAAAATTCCAAATCAGCTAGGAATGGGATGGAAGACGTGATTTGACAAAATAAACCAAAGCGCCACATCTTGAGACCACAACATCTCAAAAAAAAAAAAGAGGACTAACCAAGTACTGTTCTGTACTCCCCAAAGCCACAAGGTCTGATGAAGCTCCATCAATTAAAACCAAACCTTGTTTAACCCTTATGACCCAGGCGACGTAAGACCCTACGAACCACCCACATGGACATATTTCTGCATTTTTTTTAAATCCATGGTAAAAAAATAGTATTTCAGGTGTAAAATTAGTGCAATCACTCCAAGAGTACTGATGTGGCTGGCGTGCACGTAGTCCCCTACGTCCACAACACCCATGACCTCGATCTCGCTGAAGGAGTAGTTGATGAGGTGGGGAGGGAGAGTGGGCGCCATTGTTTATCACTGTCATCACCGCTGGCCGCCTCAACAAAGTCAACATCATCTGGGTCTGTTTCTTCCCCATTACTGTCTTCTGTCACCCAATAGTATATCAATGCCACTATTGCCACCACAGTAGGATGAACTATGAGAGAGAGAGAGAGAGAAAGAGTTTGCAACAAACTTTGCTGGAGTGTTAAATGAGAAACAAATGGCACCCTGAGGCTGGCTAGCTCTGTCCGCTATGGGATTCAGAATCAAATCAAGCAACTCTTGATGAATAGCACTACTGTCGAGGGTGTGAAGGAGTGAGGCGGGTCACGAGACGTCGAAGGACGTGCACCCATCATGATAGCTGATGGGTAAATGGACCACTAGACTTGAGACAAAGCTTACATGTGAGTTGTGTTGCCAAGTAAATAAATATCGAATACAAATTACTTCATCCCGCCTGCACGTTCAAACTATGCGGCAAAAATTAAAGACGTAGAGGAACATCACCCGGGGTCACTATGATGGACGTAAAGGAATGTCACCCGGGTTTTAAGGGTTAAGACAGGTTTTTAATAAAAAAACATCAAAAAACATCTGCTCAAACAGTATAGTGTCAGTTACAGGAATGAAAAGATGACACATTGAAAGGAGAGATTCAGGGAGATTAGAAGTAAAGAACAGTGCAGTAAAGAATGTGGTGAGAAAAAAACATAAGACAATAAAATAGAGGATAAAATGAAGGAATAAAGATGATATGGAGGATGTTCAATGGTGAAATAATGCATTAGATAAAATATAGGGCGGGGGGGGGGGGTGGATATCATTTGGGTTTACAGAGAATAAAGAGCACTTCTCTTGATAAATTTGATTTATAAAATTGTCCCTACCTCCTCTATTTTCCTCACCTACCCTTCTAACTCTTATTTACCTCATCCTCTCAAATACAACTTTACCTTGTACGGGTACTGTTACTTCCCAGGTATACTCGATAAGACAGATTTCTCAAGTCGTTTTTGTCCCCTTAAACGGGTATTATTATAGTCTCTGACCATTGTAGTACTTTCTCCATTTTTCATGTTCATCTGATGAACTCATTTTCTCCTCCCCATCTTTCATCATTTCTGCCTTAATTCCATCCAATCCTGGAGCTTTCACTAATTTTAAGTTGCTCTTCACTGCTATTATCTCTTGCCTTAACATTTCTTTATTGTTTACCTTTGGTTTCCCTTCTCCATTGCCCAACACAAAGTTTTTGCCTCTTGAAGGTTGGTTTCAAAGGTCTGATGGCCTATTATGAACACTAAGCCTTTGGTATACACGAAGGTAACATTGCTGGTACTGTACTGCCTTCAATTTCCTTACTGTGAATTTAGACACCCATTTACTTCTTTATCTAACCAGTGATCCTCAGGACATAGGACAATCACTGTATCCACTCAGCCACCACACCCTTCTCAGTTCTTCTCCTCTTTACTACTTTTCTCTCTTTATCTTTTATTCTACTACTAGTTGTTCCTTTCCCAGTACACATGTGTCTCATTACTTGTCAAACTGCTAAATTGTGTAAAGGTTTCTCCCACTAATCCATTTTCCTGAGTGGGAAGCTTTTTATGTAACAATATAAACTGATTCAACAGGACAGTATTTCTGCTTCTAAAATTTGAGATAACTTAAGTGAGCAAGGCAGGGACTATTATAGTGGGGGAATTTTACATATCACTTGTTGAATGACCTATAAGCCATATACAGTATTGTTAATAGTTAATGTACAGTTGTGGAAATGTGTTCCTACACCCATGTAGTAACCTGTGTCTCCAAATGGCCAACCTATATGACCTTGAGCAAACCTATCCACCAATCATGTCTGTCATTACATGACCAATACCCATTCATTCATAAATACAGTAGTGATACTGTACTACTAATGCAACATTGCTGTTTGAAGAAACGGGTTACCGCAGGGGGTTTAGAAACACATTTCCACAGCTGTACAAACATTATTTAAATTAACATACACCAGTAAGTACCATAACTATACTGTACTACTATTTACAGATAATTCTATACTGACTATTCTCATCAAAATTATGTCTTTGGTAGAATTATCATGTTTGTTATCAAATTGAAATTTGTTAAAATTCATAAAAATCTTACCAAGTTCAAATTTTATGATGTTTGGATGTCAGAGGTAAAAAAATATAAAACTCATTTAACTGGAGTAAGCACAGGTAAAAATTGCAGCCGAGTACAAATTAGTTGGAGATGAATTATCCTAGGTAATTAATACTATTTTAGTACATGTACAGTACTTTCACCAGTTTCAGGGCCTCTTTTATCCAATAAACGCCTCGATTACAACTACCGGGTATACCTAACATGAATATTACAGTGTCATACAACCATCTGTTTAATACATTACATGAGTAGACAAACCTGAGGTAGATATGGGATAAATTGAACAAAATAACTTTTATCATTGGGGATCATGTATTGTGTCCAATTATAAGAGGTACAGTATTTAATATCATGTTTAAGATAATGAATATAGTGATATTTCCATTAGCTGGAACAATTGGTACAAAGCACTTCTGGGAATGAGAGATTTCCGAATAAGGAGATGATTCTCCCAAAACTTGAAAAATTCCCCCAAACCTGGAATTTTTTGGGTACTGGGAAAATTTTCTTGGAAGTTATGAAAAATGCGCCCGATTTTCATCTCTCAAACCCAGAAAAAAATCCCCCATCCCAGGAACTTTCCGGGGAGAGTTCCAGCTAACAGATATAATACTGAATTAGGCATAAATTTATATGATACATTTGTTTTTAATGAATATTAAAAGTGACAGGATAATAGTCATTAAAAAAAATTCAGATTTGTACTTGAGTGAAGATTTAAAATTAGAGAAACACATTTTAATTTACTGGTTGGTAGTCAAATAACCAGAACAATCAGCAAATACAATACAAAGGTGCCATCCACTACAGCTAAGGATACCAGTCACCTCCAAGCACTCTGATGGGATCCTTAACCTGAGCCTGGTTGTGGAGGGCACTACTATTACAGTATACCCTGGGTAGTACGATAAATATATCTAAATACTGTATATACTGTAAGTGTGTATTTTCTCTTGTTTCTGGCCACCCTGTATGAAGAGAAGAGAGGGAGAGAAAAATTTACAGAAGCAATCCATTCATCTATATACTGTACTGTGGATTCAATAACTCTTAGAGACACATCATGTACTGTATATCCACCCTGTTTTACTACTGACCACAAGATTGTTTAACATACTCTAATACAACAACCAAGACTTACTAAGGTATGAGCACTTTTAACAACATTGTATGATTAAGCATCAAATACACATTTTAAAACTGACTCTCTTTTTAAGTGGAAAATATGATCAAAGAAAAGGAAATAAGATTTTTCACATAAGATTGTGGCTAAGATATAATTTAGTTTTACTGTATTATGATAGGAATGGTCTTTTTCTACATGTTGCTCTAGCCCCATCCTGTTACTTTCTACACTTGTCTTGCCCCACCCTCACTGTCATTTCCCCTCTTCTTTGGGGTACAGTACTGTATCTCTTGATCCACCCAACACAAATAGGAAGTAAGGATAACAGAAGAGAATTTTCAACAAAATACAGTATAGTGTCTCCTAATACTGTATCTCCAAACTCCAATTCTCAGAAACTTATTGTTACAAACTTATGAACAACTATGACTCAGCTGATAACCACATAAATAAAGGTTATCTGTCATTACTCATAATTTTTTTCTTAAAGATACAAAAACTACAATGCTAATTTGCCATTCTGAACCTCTTGGTTACCCCATACTCTACTAGTTTCACTTAACATGTACTGAACAGCAGCAATGCTATCACATATGCACAGTATATGTTACCTGAGCGTTGCAGTAACCAAACGGTTAATATTTTGGGTTGAGAGTAAACATCCTTAGGAGAAATATTTATACAATTTTTACACCACTCTTGAAAGTTTGACCTTATTACATATATTTTTTCTCTAAATGACTATTAAGAAGTAACCACCTCATTTGCACCTTCAAAGTCCATGCCTACACCACCCATTCCCTCCACGTCTACTTCAGATTCTGATGCATTGAGCATGTTGAGGGTCACATCTCTGCCACCAAGCATACTCCCTCCACCTCCACTAGCCCCTGCTTGAGTAGTAGTAGTTTGCTGGGCTTGTAAGGCTGCTGCAGCTTGCGGAGATATACCCACATCCTCAAAAGCCTTCTTCTTAAGCGCTGACCGAATTTGTGTACTGAAAAATAAAAGAACTATTTCAGCATAACCCTTAATTGGCAGCTAGGGATTACCCATTCTCTTTCCCCCATATCTGAAAAAATTAAATGCAAAGAACATCAAACTTCCACAGGTGATGACCACTAACTTCCACCAATGATGGCCACCATTTAAGGGTTAAGACACATAGAGTACCAGTTGACCGGTTTGTGGGCTCATACCAACCATCACAGTTTTTAACATTACACACAAACCTTCAGTGTATAAGATGCAGGATGACTTTTTTTTTTTAAGAAAAACCAAATGCATCTTATACACTGACAAATACAGTACTGTATTGTACGGTATATACTGTACTGTAAGTTATAGTAATGAATGAGTTATCATCAACTGTCGTTTCTTCACCCTGCTCATGTTGTTTAATACAGTATTGTCTAATTTCACCTTTAGTATGAAACTCTTTCACTGTTTCTAGATACAATATGTGCCTGGCAAATAACTGGCAGGATATTTGTGTCCTCTTTATGCAAAATTTGGGGTGATTTATAAAGAAATAATAGCATACGTACCATATGTAAACAACTCTCGCTACAATCAATTCTATAAACCTAGAAAGTTCTAGTTCATGGTACATAATTTAATTTTTTCATATGCATTTACTATTACCGTAATAACTTGAAAAACAATACAGTACGAGTTTTTAGTGAACCTTCAATATTTCACTAAACCAAATCATAATACAGTGCAGTACTATATATATATAATGAAAATTTTATGCAAAAAAAAAAAATAAAAAGTTTTTCTTTCTCCTTTTTCAAGTCATACACTGTACATATATGAACTCAACATGATACATTTTGCACAGCTTGTGAACAGATTCACCTTTTTCAGCAGGTCTACTTTATCTCTTACAGTCGTGTGTCTCTTTTTCCTCTTGGGAGAACTACAGAAAGGAGTATTAAATGGCTGCTTATAAGACATTATGTACTGTGAATTGGGGGGTAGAATAATAATGAAATACAGTACCTATAAATACAAAGTACCAACAGCAGGACCAGAACAACAATGGCGGTATAAACAAACTTCAGGCTGAGGAACAAGAGGCACAAACACTGCAAAGCAGCCAACTGGATAACTATGTGGAAGTTTGAACATGCTGTTAATTGTGAGGTTTGTTGGATAATACTTTTTCTATAAAAATGTTATTAAGTGGGAGTTGTCAAGTCAATTGTATGCTGGATAAGAGAGGGTCAACCTGTCCTGTACAGTACAGTACTGTATCTACAAATGAAGACTCCTTATGACTACTATATAGAAATTAATTTCTACAATGACCACTACAAAGCAACACCATAAAATAATATTGCACTACATGATAACAAGGTTTACATTTTAAACCTAATACAATACAGTACAATCGAGTACCAAAATAGCTACCAAAGGATCATATAACATTACAGTATATCATATGTTTAAATTTCAAAAATAAATTTAACAAGTCATTGTTGAAAATTACGAGTTTCCAAAACTGCCAAATAAGGTAAACCACTCAAGACAGTTCACCGGTTTTGTCATCACTGCAGCAAGTTAAACAAAAAAACCTTTATGCCAAAGCAATGTTCACCTGGCTACAATTCAACAAAAATAAAAAAAAATTCTGAACAATGAACTTGTCTGGCACACTTGTGATACATCTGTATAAAGCGTTTGGTTCAAATCCATTACTATTTGTTTGAGTTATAATGTTCATAATTGTGGATGGGCACAACAGATACTCACATCTCCCTTCATGAGTATAGTGAGTTGGGGGCAAAAAGTTTAGATCTACAGTTTGTACTTGTTAATTAAGAGAATGCTGGACCTACCAAGCTCTTTCATACGGTACTAAACACGAAAAAAATTACTTGATACACAAATCTCTTGCACTGATGATGATGGTGAGGAGAATATATTATCTGATAACAATGATGTTGCAGAGAATGATATTCACTCAATATATTGTTAGAGAATGTGCTCACTAGAAAACCAAGGGAAGTACAGTAGGGGATACTACAGTACCCAATGTACTGTCATGTATTAAAAACTTCTAGTCAACATTTTTAAGGTTTACACAGAGCTTCCAATGAAGACTTAGTGGTATATGTAAGTAAGATGCTAACTAGAAATTCCTATTGTGAACAAATTAGTGTGTTCCCAGTGAATTTAAGTATCAGAAAAATAATACAAGTACGTAGTCAGTAATTCTTAAATATCAGATATAGTAGGTAGTTATATATGCAGTTAACGAGTGCCTCGGTTAACGAATTACCTTCCACAAGATTCTTAACTTCGGTTAACGAGCATTCCCTCGATTAACAAATTCCTTACGAGCGCCCCTCAACATGTTTTCGTTTGCACTCTAGCTGTCGTATTAGTCCGCCAATACAGTAATCGGTTCTAGGGCTTAAATTCCTTACTATTTTAGTAAATATCAAGAAGTTTGTACTATTCAATAATTTTAAAAGTCTTACATTAATTTTTTTTAGTCATTTTAACAATTATTTAACATAATTTAAGTACAGGGAAACTAGTTTTTAGCGCGCCAAACAGCCTGTCAACACACCATACAGGCGTCAGTCTCTGTGTCTTTTCAGTGGGGGTAACATCTTGCTTCAGACTCTCTTCAACATAAATGCTTTTTTTGTGTGTTTCCAGTCAAATTATTGGTCATTCTGAAGTTTATTTTACATATTGACAATATATAATGCAGTGCAGTGTTGATTTAAAGAAAATAATCTTGAATTACACCAAGTGAACTAAAATTTTATGGGTGAAATGGCAGCATGGGATGACTTCTCTTCCGTCCCAATGCCTTCTCTTCCCCTTCTCCTCCTCCACCTCCCACTTCAAATTCACATCAGCATCATCATCCAGGAGCCTTCTACTTACACACGTCAAAGTAAGTGTACTTTGCTACCTTTTCTGTTGACTTTGGGCAATTTTCGGTGAGCTGGAACCAATTACCGAAACCATTGAAACAATGGTTTCGATTAACGAGCAACCTTCTGGAATTGTGCTCGTTAACCGAGAGACCACTGTAATCTCAATACTAATATAGTATGTACAAATCATGTCAACTGGATAGCCAGGGTCATGACATAATGCCAGTCCTACACCAGGTATAGTCAATTGCACAAGAATTTAAATTGGTAAATGGCAAAAAAAGACGCAGAATATAAGCACTGTGGTGGTACCGTATAATGACACTCATGAAATAATGTACATAAGAAAGAATCTAGGACCTGGTATCACTAATAAATGAGGCACAATGATAAAGGTTCTCTGGCAAGAGCATATGTCACATAATGAGCACATAAGTATCATCTAGGTAACACATGTAAGTACATGTACAGGGGTCCTCACCACTGTTCAGTATGTGTTCTAGAGAAAAGTGGTTTACAGTGAACCATTTTATAATGAGGTCATAATTACATACTGTACTGTATTATATAGTATTGATAAGGAGATACTTTCCTAACAACATTATTTGTTACCTTTTAGTGATACATGATGGCTTGATTTGGCTATTTGTACACTTAGACAACTGATTAATGAATAAACCAGTAAACCAGGGAATATGGAGATGCATAATACACTACAATATCATTTATTAAGTGTTGATAAATACACAACAATATTATTTACTAAATGCTGAAGATAGATGTTGTGGTAACTACCAACCATCTTGGGCAGGGACAGCAGAGGTGCATGAGAGAAGGAATGCACTGGCAACACTGTGAGGGAGGGTCAGTTATTTGTATTGTATTGTACTGTACTTTGTACACAAGAAAACGGGAATTTAATACAACACATTAACTCCTCTGGGGTTGGGTGTGGGATTTTTTTAAGAAAAACTTATTTTACAATAACATTTTATTAACCCAGCACCAAATGAGCGTAAATAATATGAACAATTATAGTGAAATGGTGTACTGTCGTGTTAAGGGGAACGTCCAGCTGAAATACGATGAAAATCGGAAAATTACGAAACACTCAGAAAAATTCCTGAGGAAAGCTGTTGCCTATGGTTATCTGCCAACGTATTTTGATTGTGTAATTCATAATACTGTATTTATGTAGCTATACATGATTGTTCTACCCCCTCTTCATTTAGAGGGCCCTCCTGTTTACGGAGCAAAACCTGTAGAAAAGTACTGTACAGGGGTATTTATAATAATATTTTGGTGTAAAGTAATACCAATCACTTGGTAAAAATCAGTATCTGGCACCTCCATCAGCTAGCTAGCAGCCAGACGAGAGTCTGAGGCTGCTTGTACTCCTCAGTTACCCACAAAAGAAGCAAGTGAGGTTGTTTGACAATGTGTTGCTCTCGCACCACCCTTGTCTTTCGGCCCATATCTCAAAACGAGTTTTTCTAACTTTCAAATCCCTAAGGCTCGGCCATTTATGGGCCGATTCTAATAAAACAAAAACTATTTAGTAGAATAACATATTGTGCATGGCAGAACATATAGAATTTCTTTATATTTGGCTTGGTTTATTATTGGCTGATTTATCTTAAAAATATTTGGAGGAAAAAAATGGCAAGTTACAACAAAAATTAATGAACCCAAAACGAAAAGAGATAATCAGAAATATCTATGCAGGGAGTCACCAGGATACAAACGGGTTCCAGTATGCTATGTGCATACTGTACTTACAGAACAACATTTAAAATCCCACTATATAATAGCCTAAGTCCTTGTATACATCTAAAATCACTTAATCTAAGACAAAAGAAGAAATAAAATGACAAAATACAGTAATTGAAAGTAAAAAAAGTCAAGTAAATAAAATACTATAAATTTCAAGTTTAACCCCGTTCACATTGGCAGTTCATAAGTCACGTTCAAGAGAAAATTACCTAAACTCCACATAAATTTCAACAATCTAGCGAGAAGTTATGGAGAAGTAGGATTTTGAAAACTGAAAAGAATATAAAGGAAAAATCAGGTATTAGGGTATTAGGCAGAGCTGATTCAGGGGTATAGCAACAAAGTATCTGTTATCCTTAAATGCTGACAGGAAAATGATATTGACTGATCAATTATTAACGAATTTTGTGCTTCAGCCGGGCACTCCCCTTAAAGTTGTTCTTGAGGGGAGGCAGTTCTCCAGCCACCTACCCCACACAAAACTCACTTCCTAATCTTAATTTGTCTTATTTTATAGTTTATTGTCATTTTTTCCAAGTTGCATTAGATCGTTGAAATGATATATCCACAACTTTTATGGTTTCTTATGGAACAATGACACATGCACAGCCCTCTCACAGGTAACAAATGCCCATGTGTTATGGTGATTTCTACACTCAATATTCTCCCATACACAATATACCCCTATATAGTACAGTATTTTCTTCTTATTTTACATCTTAATATTACTGTACATATACGTACAGTATATTCTTTATTCACAAGGCACACTGGTACATTGAAATTACTTTTACGCAAATTCTATGGTTAATGACATGCTGTATAACAAAGATATTAGCGCTCAGTTGTGTGATATATGACTGACATACTTTGGAGTGGTAGAAACTTATCACTTGTAGGGCATTCTTATTAGTTATTATCGTTATTTTTACATTGTACAGTATTATGTGCTTTAAACACTATTTATGCATCATATTTGAGCACACACAGACTTATTATAAAACAGTGGATGATACACACGACGTATATGTGAAACAACTGATGTATGATAAAAATTTACTTTTATATTTGTTAGTGACGCATAGCGAGGTACCTCTATATCAAAGTAGCACATAAAGCTGAAAACGTCACTTGGCTGATACAGTAGAACGTCGATATAATGCGAGATACATGTTCCAAGAGAGGTCACTTTAATCTGAATTCGCACTAAATCAAAGTGTTGTTTCAATGAAATAATTTAGTTTGGTACTTGAGAGAAACATAAAATACTAAAAAGACTTTGAGTCTACCCAGATGCACCCCAGCCCATCTCCTAGAATAAACAAAACAATGTTTTTTTGAAGTATTATGTTAAAACAAACACTCATAAATCAACACAGCTAAAATTAAGGGATGCAAAATGGTCTGTTAACTGGTTGGGAAGATGGGGTGGAGGGAGGGAGGTGAGGTGATATGTTTGACAGCTGATGCCAAGGTTAGTTATTTATCTGTCCTTAAGAGTGACTTTCAGTTTTCTCTTATAAAATGTCACTGAATTGACATGGGAGAATATAATTAAAATTGTTGGAATTCTTATAAGATAGTGATTAATTTGAATAATCTGTATAAGCTTGCACTTGACATACAAAGAGCAAAATTTTTTATCTCTTGTGCAAAATATATGACGTTTATATTCAAATTATTCGCTGTCTTGCATGGATTCCAGCAATACAAATTATATTCTCCTAACTTTAGTCTGTGACATTATATAAGAAAAAAATTTAAAGCCTAAAACCACCAAACCCTGGCTGGCAGGGAGGGGGGGGGGAGGTGACAGTGACATGTTTGACAGTTGGCGCTAGTGAAGTATTTATTTGTTTATTTACGTTCTTTAGCATGATTTTATGTTTTTTGCTTATAAAATGTCACAGAAGTGATTGGGGAGAATATAATTTACATTGCTGCATTTCTTATAAGATAGTGATTAATTTGAATATAAACATGCTATAGTTTGCAATTGACAAAAATTATAGTAATCATTGAGTACATTATTTGCAGTACATGTACAATACAGCTTTGCCCTTAGGACAGTGTAGCGTGCCCAGAGAAGCATTAGGTGCCAAATTTTAAATATGATACACCAGATTGACTAGTGCAAAATAGGAAAGATTCGCTTTAAATTAAAACATTGTCCTTGATTGTGGGTGTCACTTTAAATCAATAATCTTAAATTGAATCACTTTAAATTGAAATTCTACTCTAAGAGGTAAAATACACAAAGATCCTCATGGGACTCTCGCGGGCTTGTGACGTCATGTTTCATATATGCAATGTTGATTGGCTGATAGGCGACGCCTTCTGTCTCTAGAGCCGTTGATGCAAAGGGGAAGTGGAGGACAGTGTGTCGGCAATGGTTTTCCCACCAAAATGTGATGGTGCGATGTGACAGTACAGTACGTACTGTATTGAATTCAATTGGAGTAGTACTGAAGACACAAGACGTTTGGAAATATGTGACAGTGGAAATGAAGGCCACAAGAATATTAGTGAATGATGGAATTTATGCCCACAAACACACACATCAAATAATAACAGTTAATAAGTTAAACTGAGAGAGTAGATGCAGAAGGTGAAGTCTGGCTGAATTCTTTGTAGACGAAAATGTGAAGGTGACTTGGGCACTACACTTGTAAATGGCAGCCAAGTCATTTCTAAGAACTACTATCATATGCCTGAGGATATTAACAACTTCTTAACAGATATCTTCAGTATAAGTCTTGCTAATTTGTTATTCCTTTCTTTACTGATAATCTTAAGTTTAATTAACATTTGACACCAGGAACTAATTCTTGACATACTGTATTCTTTTAACAGAAACAAATTATGCTGTTTTACATTGGGTATTAAGAGTGTGCAGGAACCCCAAACTAGTCTGCCAGTATTATGCAACAGGAGTGATACAAGACACTTACACAGTACGTGATTTTATCCTCTGACTGATAACGTTAAGATCATCACCGAATCTTTTCACAGATGATCGCAGCATTTCTATCTCATCATCAGTCCATTTTGTGCTGAAGAAAATAAATTTTTCTTAATAACACTAACTTACCTAATTTACTGCCCTAAAAACAGAAAGTAAACCTCTCATGATAACAATTATACTGTATCAAGCATCTAATTATTCATCCATAATATTCTTTATGGCATATAAGAATGAAGCAAACCTCTATACTGTACTGTACTTAAATTTTATTTACATTTACCTAAAACAACAGTAATCTTTTGCCAATTTATATCAATAATTAATGTGTGGGTTTACAGTACTAAAATCTATACCTCCACACAGGACATTTAACAGTCACCAACTGAAAAAAACAATAGTTCTCATATTCACTCAGACATAAATGGAGGACTGATACAAAACCCCATACTATGGCTGAGGGGTAGGAGGTGAAATGAAAGGCCTATGAGATATATCATTCGTAAGCACTCCTGAACAGATCCCAGAAAATGCACAATACTTTACCTTAAGATGACATTATCCACACAGACAGTATATTGCTACATGTTAGAATCTTAATAGTCTTCTCATTGAGTCTCATTCAAATTCAGTGACTGTTTCAAGACCCCAAAGAATCTTCAGATCATGAGCCCCTGATTCTCAGTTTCATCATTTCACTACCCCTACCAGTTGGTATACATATCGTGTTCCAACACTCTCAAATCTTTGCTGATTGAGACTTCACTCTCGGGAGGAGGCAGGAAATCCAAATCACTCGTTCATCCCATCATCCATAAAATGCATGAATGAAATGAGCATAAAATAGCCTTAAATGGAATGGACTGTTTCTATGTAAATTGGTCCTGCCCACACAATGTTTCCCTTACATATTTAAGCAAGACTTCAGCAACCTTTGAAATAATCTTGAGAAATGTGACAAAGTCCAAGAAGACTGGCTGGATTTGGGTTAGAAGGGCTGTGGGAGATTGAAATATCACTACTGTAGAAACTGTACAGTAAAAACCCCAATAATCTAAAAAAAAAAAAAAAAAAAAAAAATCTAAATTTTTGAAGCTTGGCTAGTCAACAAACCCTCCAGATCAGTCCTCTGTCTGCCATTGTTTACATTTCATGTCAGCATTTATGTCTTATGATTACAGTATCTTGATTAATTTAAGGTACATTAATTATCAGACTTTATAATATTTCTAGCAATACTGGTGGTAAAAAGATTGAACATGGTGTTAGAGGGAGTAATGTTCTGAAAATATATTAGTACAGTACTGTAGTGTCCTGCAATTGAACTTTATTCCTTTACAAATAAGAAAATTATTACTGCACCTGTTTGTGTACAATATAACTAACAAATAAATAGAATTGTATAAAAGAGTATGGGCCAGTGGACCTTAGGTAAATAATCTTACTACAGTATCTGTTGTTTTCTTAAAGTAATTAATACAGGTAGAGTATATCAGGGGCAGATCCGGGGTGGGGGGGTCCTGGAGAACCAATTTCCCCCTTTTTTCATCAGAGAATTCCAATACTTTTCCTGGACCCACCCCTGTATTTGCAGTAAGAATTTTAATTTTTTTTACTGCAATGGATACTGTATATTGTTACCCTATGTTTTCTTTAAGCAATTAGAGGTTTCAATAGTAATGTAAGCATTTTTATACCATATTGAGTATTCTATCAACTATCAGAAAATTTCAGGGTACGGTAATGCTAGAGCAGTTGGCTAACACAAGAAGTTGTTCAATTTCGTACATTTTTTCCACAGATGGTTTTTTGGGGGGATGATAGTAAGAAATAAAAACTAAACGACAACATTTTATTTTAATTATATGTATTTTTTCTCTATCTATGATCATAAATCACCTATAGTGGACAGGGTATGAAAGATGAAGGAAATTGTGGGGTAAAACACAGTGAAAATTGATCATTTGACACTAAAATGATGTGTCTCTACATGCTTTGTATGCTAAGAAATTAATTATTTACCATAAATATTCAGTCAAAAACTCTGCAGTAGCCGGAGCGTGTTGTCATCTGTTGTTTGTTTACAACTGACCCACTCAGTCCGAGAGTACTCTCACATCCACAAAAGACATAAAATTACACCATGATGGTTCAACAAAGTTGCTTTCATAGATACCAGATATCAAATAAATACTTTTTGTTTAATATGGCGGGGAGTCCAGGGGGGTGGCCCCCAGCTAGGAAGTTAGATAGGTTTCTTTGGTTAGATCAGGTTATATGAGGTTCTGTGCATTGTTGTAATATTTTTATTATTTACTATCATCCAAAGAACATCTAGAAGAAATGAACAAACTCGAACAACGCCATCTGCTCCAGGATTACCAAATTCAGTAATACGAATCCTCTTTGCTCCCAAGTAATTCAGATTAATGTATGAAGGTTCTATTGTGCAGAGAAAAGCAGGATTATTTATGAAGTTACTCATTTTTTTTAGCAATATTGGATCTAGAATGACAGGAATGGGTATAAAAATGGAAATGCAACTCAGAGAAAATATCTTGACTAATTCAGCAATGAGCAAATACTGTATCAAAAGTTGTGGTTTGTCATTAATTATTATCAAACAAGGTGGGAGAGAGTGATTAATTAACATATAGGATCTGGTATAATAAGAGTAGACTTTGTGAGAAAAGATGATGAGAATATGCACATTGAATGAAATGATAATTAAATGGCCAAATTATTACAATATAACTTTAGAAAACAGACACTGCTCTTGACATGATAAGTGACTGATATTCTGAAGTAATTAATGACGTGCATGAACTGTTTTTTGTAGCTGCATATAGCAATTATAAAATAATATCAGCAACACAGAGAAATGTGACAATCATAATAATCAGTTCTTTGTAAAAATTAACCTGATTTAACTCACTTACCCTGCTGGTGATTGTTCAGCTGTGGGATGGAGCTGCATCGTGAGTTCTGCAAGTTTATTGAAGGCCGTGCCAGCAGCCAAGAAAATCTCACCAACCTTAAAATCAAATCAGAATGTTAGCAGTGTAAAATTTTAAGCAACAAAGAAATTAATATAATCTTTTGATAGAATTATCTGCAATTAATAAGGAAACCACTATAACCAGACGTAGTTGTTTGATTTCATTCTTTTTTTCCATAGATGTTTTATCATAACAGTAAGTATTTTAAAAAGAGGCCAAAACTTTTTATTTTAGGGTAATTATAAAAATTTAATTTTCAGTTTTACTCTACCTACGAGCATAAATCACCTGTAGTGGGCAGGGCATGAAGGATGAGGGAAATTGCGGGGGAAAACAAGGTGGAAAACTAATCATAAAACACTAAAATGATGTATCTATGGGCTTTGCACGTAAAAAAATTAATCGTTTCCTGTAAATACTCCTCCAAAAAATCTGTCGAGTCACAGTGTGTCATCTGTTTGTTTACAACTGACCCACTTTGTTTGAGCGTCTCTCAGGTCCAATAAAAACGTAAAATTACACCACGATGCTTCAACAAAGTTGGTTTCATTGGTACCAGATATCCAAATCAGTACTTTCTGTTTAATATGGCAGGGGATCCAGGGGAAGAAGTTAGATAGGTTTCTTTGGTTGGTTAGCTCAGGTTTTATTAGGTTTTAGTAAATGTTGCCTCTTTTAAAATATGGTAATTATTGACAAAATACCCACACCAGTTTTTCATAGAATATTATTTTAAAAACACCGCAATTTCACTGTGTTTTGTAGCGGACAATGTCGTAGTTCAGAGGGATGTGTTAAAAAATAGTTAACCGGTTATTTTTAAATTAAACCTAACCTAACCTTAGTTGATTACAAAAAAACAAGCGACAGAAGTGTTGTTAGAAGACCGTACCAACCTAACCTTACTGAACTTCCTAACCGTGGGGCTCCGCCTCCAGGACTCCCTGCATATTAAACAGAAAGAACTTACAATACTGTACTATGATATGGTGTAATTTTACCTTTTTTATGGACGTGAGAGAAACCACCCGGAATTATTGGCTCATAAACGTATACTGAGGCAAAGGACAACATTGAGCGTTGAGCGGGGCACCTTACTGATCTATTGCTGAGCAGGAAAAAGGAGTGCAGCTAATGCATGCCTAGGGGCCTAACTATTTGCCAAACGAAGCATTTGCACACTCAAGAAATGAATATCATATCAGAACTCACTGATGACAATATAGTAAGAAAAAAAAACATCAAAACAAATAAGGCGGCATTGAGTATCTCTTCCATTATAACCTAAAATGCTTGGGAAATTTTCACTTGTTGCCACTAAACTAAATTGAATTTTAAATTATGTTTTTCCGGTGGTTTTTGATGTGTTATGAACGAACTTGACCTTCATTTCTGGTGCAAATTAATAGTTTCTGAGATAAGCACCCCCATCTCAGAATCCAGAGATTTGCTATAAAAATCAAGGTAAAAAGTGTTCAAAACTCATCAAAAACCATTGGAAAAAGTTTTGAATCTAACCTAACAAACCAACCAAACCTAACCTAACCAGGGGCTTCCACAATCGTTCCATGTTCTGGGTGTGTACTGCTGCACATTCAATGTTCTTGGTGTGTACCGCTGCATCATTCAATGTTCTGGGTGTGTACAGCTGCATCATTCAATGTTCTGGGTGTGTACAGCTGCATCATTCGATGTTCTGAGTGTGTACCGCCACGTACGAACATACATTCTAAAATGTTAAATATCCCGCTTATATGTAATTTGCACCAGAAATGCCATTGAAGAAAAGTGTCATAGAATTGTCAAAATTACTGAGTGCAACTATAAACTTCCTGGTGATAACAGTGTTCTCATATATTAGTGAATTATCAACTAGGCTATTACCCTGGAAACATCGCCGATAAAAGTGTAGATAACGGTTACCACCAGAATTTGTTTGTTGATTTTCTTTATTTTTGTTGTACTTATTGTTTTGGTGATTTTAACTATAATAAAAGAAACGCCAACTTTCTATTATAACATTTTTGTTTACCTCGCTGAATCCCTGTTCGAGACGTTTCCTATAAATGATGGTGAACGCTTCTACGAATTCCTCCGTGCCATTGCTAATTCATATCAACCTCAACATTAAGGTAAGCTGTTTAACACATAAATTAACACGATAATTCATAGAACCAAACAGAACCTGACCTAACATACCCAATGAGTATGTTAGGTCAGATTCTATTAGGTTCTGTGCATTGTTTCCATTTTTGTGTTTAATGTCATATTAGTGTGAAGAAAAAATTCAACCAATTCGGACAATTCCTTCTGGTGGTAAGCCATTATCTACACCTTTACCACATCGACTAAAAGAACGGGACACATCGACCAGGTCACCCAGGCATAATAAGATTCCAGCTTAAGGATGTTCAGTACCATTCCTACTTGTAGTCAATAACTCTTATAAATGTCAGAGCTCTTGTCAGCATTGCACATTGATAGTACAAAGCAATGTATTATGCTTAAGGTTAAATATTACTAAATACATCATAAGATATACGTACTTTACTAGCAGAGTTCATTGTAAAACAGTATTTAACGTTAACACAGCCGCGCTCGCTCACTTGTCACGGCGAGGATGGTCGAGGGACAGTGACCGACGGCCGCGTTCCCCTCAGTTGGTTATTTTGCTTGAAGGAAGAGAACCTATGTATGGAACTAACTCCATCTCAGAGTTACTCCAGGCACAGCAATATTGATTCTCATGCTAATGCAACCGATTTTTTTTTCTGTGAACCACAAGTCAGCGTTGTGATGGCACTGAGTGTGAGCTCATTAAGGATCAGACTTGACATAGAGACGTGACCGATCGCCCAAGCGGCTAACGAGCCGATCAGAGGCGAAGAGGATAACAGTAAAAGTAAAAGTAACACTGGCGCAAGACCGCACGTACAGATACATTCTGGAGTCAGTACATTCCCAGAACTTGCCAACAGAGACGTGAGCGACCGCCCAAGCCGATCACAGACAAAGATAGTGTAAAGTAGGAAACGGTGGATTTCAGGGAAACGAGCGGCTGAACGTGTTCTCATGTGGTAGACTTTTACCTTTATCCTCTTAACCACTCATCAGCTCGTTAGCCGCTAGGGCGATCGGTTACGTCTCTGTTACGCACTGTTGGCAAGTACTGGGCATGCACTGGCTCCTGAATGTACCTGAACTTGCTCCAGTGCTTATCCAGTCTGGTCTTGAAAGAACTCACACTCGGTGCCTCACAACACTCTCTGGCAGATTGTCCCAAGAGTTCACAACTCAATTCAACTCACTCCGAAAAAGTTACCCCACACAGTTTTCTGGGCTTGCGGCTTCTTCAACCTTGAGTGAGCGTCTGCCAGTTCCAGGTCAGGACACTCGACTGAGTAGTGCCCTTTGAGAGCCTGTACACCTCAATTGGGTCATTCCTTGCCCGTCTGCAGTATAAACTAGGCAATTTCAGACGTTCTAATCTTTCGGGGTAGCTGGGATGCCGCAGTGCTTGGACATTTTCAATCAACTGACAGTCCCTAGCATGTGAGAAGGACCTAGGTGTGTATGTTGACAATGAGCTGAAGTTCTCGGGCCATTGCGAGAAGAAGGTAAATCAGGCAAATAAATTATTGGGTCTTATAAGAAGGTCGTTCAGATATCTAGACGATCCGTCCCTTGTAACGATCTTCAAGAGTGAAGTGCTTCCCCATCTGGAGTACTGTCACCCCGTCTGGTCCCCGAGATATGCTAGGGACTGTCAGTTGGTTGAAAATGTTCAAAGGAGGGCCACCAGACTGGTGCCTGTACTTCTGCACCTCAGCTACCCTGAGAGATTGGAACGCCTGAACTTGCCTAGCTTATACTACAGACGGGCAAGGGACGACCTAATTGAGGTGTATAAGCATCTCAGGGGGCACTACTCAGTTGAGTGTCCTTACTTGGAGCTGGCGGACGCTCGCCCCACAAGGAGTCACAGTTCAAGATTGAAGAAGCCGCAAGCCCAGAAAACTGTGAGGGCAAACTTTTTCGGAGTGAGGGTTGTGAACTCTTGGAACAATCTACCAGAAAGTGTTGTAACGGCACCGAGTGTGAGCTCTTTCAAGACAAGACTTGAGCAACACTGGAGCAGGTTCAGGTACATTCAGGAGCAGGTGCATGCCCATTACTTGCCAACAGTGTGTAATAGAGACGTGACCGATCGCCCAAGCGGCTAACGAGCCGATGATTTTGTGAAGAGGATAAAAGAAAAGGAAAAGTAAAAGAGACGTGACCGATCGTCCAAGCGGCTAACGAGCCGATCAGTGGTGAAGCGTATAAAGGTAAAAAAAAATAGGCTGCATTACTCTCGCCAACTTCTTGTTGATATCTTCCAGCTGATCACAAGGATCTGTTCACACGTAGAGACAAAATTCAGATCCAAGTCCACTCTGTGGTAGTGGGGAGGTAATTGACTCGGGATAAAAGCTAATTAACTAGAATATTCAATTGAACTAAAGCCAGAATATATAGATGCAAATCATATAATATCGACGGGCAAACTTTTAAGTACTGCAAACACTCAAAAGTCGGTTACATGGTCACTGATATTGTAACTTAGGTGTTTTAGTATCTACACAAGAAAACTATGAAATATTACAGGGTATTATCTAGCTTATAACAATTTATGGAACAGTAGTGACCAGTTCCACTCTCGTAAGCCCGGGAAGATGCAATAGAGAGATAGTATTACAGTTAAATTTTTACGTGTTAAATCGTCTTTCAATTCATATTGATTCAAATGTTCGTAGACTATGCATTTATACAAACGACATGACTGACTCAGTATAACTTATGAGGTGTTTAAAGATAGATCCATTAGGTGACTCAACTCTGAATTTGGGTTGTGTAGGAGAACACTACAACCGAGGGGAGGCTCCAGTCTCTCGTGCCACTGGGGTCACTTTAACACACTACCTTATCTCTCTGACACTTATAGCAAGATGGAGAAAAGCACTGGATCTCACGATAGTTCTCTGGAAGAGGAAAGGGAGGTAACGCCTTCCACTGACGTTAATGGAGTGACGGAGCACCATGAAGATGGCCCTACCGAGCAGGTACACTACCCTGTATACACTTAGTTTACTTCATAGGGTTTGTCACTTGTCATATTTTGTTTAACTTTAATTGCGACTCAAGAAAAACTAACTTCTATCCTAGTCTTAATTACACTACCGCCTCAGCAATATGCACATAATGGTGAATTAAATGTAGAGGTTATTGTGGTTGAATAAGGAAATGGATATTGCTGTATTTATTTATTTTGGTTTTATTTTTTGCCCTGGTCATTGTTGAGTGTAAATTCTCCAATCCGAGTTAAAGTTATTTCCGGTATTATTTTAGTTTCGGTCATCCAGGGAATCTTAGGACTTTAGCCCTCACCAGAAAGGGGGGGTTTGAGGGGGTGAAGTCCCCCTGTTTAGGTTAGATATAGTTCCTGGGTTCTGTGGTTAGGTTAGATTACATTAGGTTAGGTTAGGTTAGATTGCATTTGGTTAGGTTGGATTTTTAAATACAGGGAAGACCGAAACAAAAATTTTACTTTATTTAGTGCGACCGATATCATACACTTGTTTTCGTTCATTACACCTTTATCATATGCAATTGTTACTTTTTTTCATTCAACTTATCCCAGGCTTCATCTCTTTCCTTATGTAGTATTTGTATCTCAATGTAGAGGAATTCACTCTGTCTGTCATGTGAGTACTTTTTGTGGTAATATTGCAGTAAACAGTTTCCACAGAATCCCGGAAATTCACTACACACAATCGATAGAACTATTTTTTCTATGATCGTTTTCTTATATTACACTTCCGTCGCAAATTGATAATAAGGAAGTTATTGAATTTTAAAAAGAATAAAATCAGAGCACCTGTTGTCCCTATGCTGTTGCTCAAATTGTGTGTTCGTGCGGCTAGTGGATTAGGTAAGGTTTAGTTTGGTTATATTGTATAAGTTAGCAAGCACCGAGTACTGGGAATTCAGAACACGCAATCGATAGAACTATTAATTCTAATATTTTTTGTAAATATCAGAATTTTTGTTACGTAATGTGTTCTGTTTTCTTGTTGCGTTTCGGTCAATTTTGGAATTCGCTTCTACCACAAATCATTTGTTTTGGCACTCACTCACCCAGAATCCTGAATTCCCATGCTTTCCCCCATTATTGTTAGAGGGAGGGAGGGGGAGAGCTTAATCCAAAACGAGTGATTTCCGATAAAAACGAATGTCAGATTTGAACCAATAGCACCAAAAACCATCTGAAAAACAATTTTGTTTATCAGATTCTTTGGTTGCTGTAGTCTGCAATTTTACCCTTTTTGTACCAGAATCAACTTTATTCGTCACATCAGGGTATTGTATCAGGAATTGGTGTTATTCCAGAATCATCCAGGGGGTTAGGTGGTGTCACCAACTGTTGCTGTCTCCTCACCTTCTAGCAGTACAGGCTCAGGCCTGACTTGATCTGCAGCCAAAAAGTTAATATTCGTCTTTCACCCATTGCTCTTACCGGTATAGAGTTTCTGACAACCCAAAATATGTAATTTTTTTAGTTATGGATCAATATTTCAGAGTAACATTTTATGTGCAACTGCTTAGTTTTCAATGTAATTTCAGAGAACAACACAACCACCAGAAGGAGGTGTTCGATTTCATTCATTTTCCTTGATGTTCTTATTATAATAAGTATTTTAAAAGAGGTAACAACTTTTTATTTTAATTATAAGTTTTATTTATTTTTTCTACAATAATAAACCACCAATAGTGGGCAGGGTATGAAGGATGAGGGAAATTGCTGGGTAAAACACAGTGAAAAACTGATTATATGACACTAAAATAATGTCTGTATTTTGTATGTGAAGAAATTAATTATTTACCATAAATACTCCTCTGAAAATCTGCCGAGTCACCACGTGTCTGTTTCTTTACAACTGACCCGCTTGTTCTGACCGTACTGTACTCTCACGTCCCCAAAAAAATGTAAACTATACCATAATGCTTCAAGAAAGTCACTTTCATTGTCACCAGATATCCAAATACCTGTAAGTACTATCTGTGTAATGTGGCAAGGGAGGCACCCCCTGGCTAGGAAGTTAGGTAAGGTTTGGTGGGTAAGGTCAGGTATTAGGTTTTGAGCATTGTTGTGACATATTTATTACTTACTATCATTCAAAGAACATGTGGAAAAAATAAACAAAATCGAACAACTCTTTCTGGTGATAGTTCTGTTCTCAGACATTACTGTTTATAATATATTTACCTTCAAACATAGATCTACTTTCAGCTGTGCCAAGGTGATTTAGCAGTCTGCCACAGTGGGTAGGTTAGATTAGGTTACCTTTTGATATGAGATTATTGTTTTCTGGTGTATTTTAGTCAAATACGACCTTCAGTTCTTGTGAAAGTGTCTGGTTTAGGGTTTTTGTTCATTTTCTAGAAAAATGAAACAAACAAAAATGGCACATTAGCGCAAGAAATAAGGGTCATATTTGACCAAACCACATCCAAAAATACACCAGCCAAAAAAATTCTTGTATAAAAAGAGGGGATGGGCAAAAAATGAATACATGTACAGTGGTCCCTCAGTTAACGAGCACAATCCGTTCTAGAAGGTTGCTCGTTAACCGAAGAACTCGTTAACCGAAACCATTGTTTCAATGGGTTTTTGGGTAATTGGTTCCAGCTCACCGAAAATTCAACAAAAAAGGTAGAAAAGTACACTTACTTTGAGGTGTGTATGTAGAAGGTTCCTGGATGATGATGATGATGGGAATTAGAATGGGGGTGGAGGAGAAGGAAGAAGAGAAGGCATTGGGGTGGAAGAGAAGTCACCCCATGGCGCCATTTCACCCATAAAATTTTAGTTCTCTTGGTGTAATTCAAGATTATTTTCTTTAAATCAACACTGCACTGCATTATATATTGTCAATATGTAAAATAAATTTCAAATTGACCAATAATTTGCTTATAAACACAGAAAAAAAGCGTTTAGTTGAAGAGAGTCTCAAGCAAGATGTTACCTCCACTGAAAAGACACAGACTGATGCCTGTATGCTGTGTTGGCAGGCTGGATGGCGTGCCACAAACTAGTGACCCTACCTTCAATTATGTTCAATAATTGTTAAAATGACTAAAAAATTTAATATTAAACTTTTAAAATTATTGAATAGTATAAACTTCTTGATATTTACTAAAAGGGTAAGGAATTTAAGCCCTAGAACCGATTACTGTATTGGCGGACTAATACTACAGCTGGTGGACCGCCAAATGCAAGCTAAAACATGTGGAGGTCGGCTCGTAAGAAACTCGTTAATCGAGGGATTGCTCGTTAACCGAAGTTAAGAATCTTATGGAAGGTAACTCGTTAACCGAAATCCCGTTAACCGAGGCGCTCGTTAACCGAGGGACCACTGTACTTTTACTGTAATTTCATAGTGTACTCTCTTTTGGCTTGACATTCTCGACTCCTTGAATAGTTTTTGCCATCATTTGCGGGAAAATTCAAACCTTTTTTTTTTTCACCTTTGCTGTTACTTTCGTCTGAAAAAACAAATACTGAAGGGACATAATCTGGATGTAAAAGATCCTGTGATGATGATGATGATGGGGCTGTTGGAAGAAAAACAGCAAATTTAGTCATCGCTCCACCAGCTTGTCTAATACAGGTTGACAACCCTTTATACGAAAACCGAAAAGCTCTGAAAACTGAAAGCTTTTTTTTTGTGGGGCTGCTTTAAAATTGCCACTATCTTTAACCTGTTCATGGTTATATCCAGAAAAGCTTGAGGAACCCTCTCCCTCTCTCCTAGTTGCCAAAAAGTTTTTAATTTTTTTTTTTGCCTAAATAGTCAGTTTGGGTAGGTTAATAATGAAAAAAATATTTAATTGCATTTTAAATGGCCTACAGTTCATTACATCATATTTGGTGGGTCTCCCAGGAGCAGCTTGTCATAGCTGGTCTGCCACTGTGGTGCCAGCTCTACCACCATTAACTTGCCTTCTTGCCACAATTGCCACCATATATACACAAATATATATGGTAAGATACAATGGTAGTTCAGTATCTAGTGAGGGAGATAAATATATCTTTCACACTCCCACTTGAGTGTGATTTCAATCTTGCAAAATGGAAGGAAGGCCATTGAAAGAAAATGAAATAATGAAAGTTAGATTATCAAAATGGCATACTTACTGGTAGGTAGTAGGCAGCTCTCAAACAGGGAGGTACAGTAATCCCGTGTTTTTCACCTTTTTTTTTTATCATGGTTTTGACCATTCACGTTTTTTTTTACTAAAAAATGATATATATATATATATATATATATATATATATATATATATATATATATATATATATATATATATATATATATATATATATATATATATATATATATATATATATATATATATATATAAAATATCCTTTAAAAACAAAAATATTAAATTTCGCGCCATTTTCGATATTCCCCTGTGTGGTGCAGACACCCACTGCTCCAAGAAGCCTCAGTCCACACTTGCCTACCGTACTGCGAACGCTACTGTGACTGTGAGAGCGGGCAGACGCCGGGACAGCAGGGAGAGGCAGGCAATGCCGATGTTGCCGACCTCAGCAAAATACAGAATTTTTTATTTACTTGTAAATAAGAATTTTTTGTATATATAACTGTGTTTACGTTTTTCCATTATTATACTGCAATATGATAAGTTTCAAATAATGATATTAGTAAATGCTGGTACAGTGCATCAGTGATCAGTGTAACCACTGGGCGGTGAGTGGAGAGCATGGCGTGGTTAAGTGCATGACCTACCTGAGCTGTTTGGTGGCTACAGTGACTCCTAAAAGAGTATTCACGTTTTTGGCTTTTCATGGGGTTTCAGGAATGTAATTCCCGCAAAAAACACGGGATTACTGTACTACCGCCTGGGAAGGTGTTGGAAACATAATGTGTTGTCTAATGGTAGACCCTGCTGCCATATGGCATCACGAAAATTGTGACCAAGTCCCAGGTTGCTCATCTGACTTTCTGCCTCATTTACACACAATTGCAGGGTCTCAATTGTTTCTCTTACTTTGACAACACAACATACATACTGTATATTGTTTCTCACTATTGATCTTTTTTAATTTTTTTTATTTCTTTATGGTTCTTTATTATTATTACATTATTATTATTATTACAGGTATTATTATTATCAGTGCTGTTGTTATTATTATTATCAGTGTTTTTGTTATTATTCTTATTATCAATATTATTATTATTTTTTTATATAAATTTTATTTACTATGAACTAATTATTATTATTATTATTATTACTGTACAGTGAACCCTCACTTTACGCGGTCAATTGAACCCACAGCGGCCCTCGTAAAGTGAGAAACGCGTAACGTGAACAACATAACATATGGGATTAATTGAAATAGAGACCGGGCCGACCCCCAAACTCCACTTTTTCAGACACAATACCTACGTTGTAGTAAAATTAACTTCTTAATTTTATGATGGTATGCACACACAATTAATAATTAAGAGAAATATCAATAATATTAGGTTTTTTAACACTTACATTAGTAGAAAAGATGGCTGGGCACACGGGGATGGGGGGGTTGGTTCCGAGGCAGAGGGCAGATTATTGGCCCTCACCTGTATCACTTGTATCAATTGTATCACTATCCACCACAGAGGCTTGCAGGGCCTCTTTGTCAAACCCCTCAAAGTCCATATAAGTCCATATCCTCACTATCATTATTACTATCACTGACTTGGGCCGGCTGTGGTGGGTGGCGGGTGAAGAACTCGGTAATGTTTTGATGACTGGGCGACCTTGTGCGCACCCTGCTCGAGCCGCTCTCCGTGTAAAAGGGTACACACACCGCGGAAAGTGAGCATTCCGTGTTCGGCAGGGTACCGCGTAAACGTGGAAACGCGTAAAGTGGGACCGCGTAAAGCGAGGGTTGACTGTATTACATTTTTGCCCCTCAGGCCCCGATGTGGGTTAGTGACCTGTGCCCGGGTGGGCTAATCCCCCCCCCCACCCAAAAAAAGTACGGTACTGGTACTGTTATGTTTATGTTTATTTGACTGGTAGAAAGCTTTGATCTTGGAAATTTTTTTCATACTTTTGTAAAACAGGTGTGTTGATAGGAAAATTTTGTTGTGTATGCTGTACAGTAACTGGTTTCTTATACTGTACTAGATTATAGAAATGTGTAATAATTTGCAGTACAGTACAGTATATTGAAACTGAAATCTCAACAAGTATTATTAGTTTCCTTTGAACTGTAAAAGATATTGATTTTTTTTATGTTGTTTGAAAATATCAAAATTAATTACAGGAAGGCGAGGAAGTGGTGTTGACAGGTTGTGGGGCCTCAGCTTGTTGTAATCCTCAGAGGGGGCTCTACAGATTTATTGGCTTGCTATTTATGTGCTTCCTTTCTTTTGGTGAGTTCCTTTTGTTTACCTATTTCTCGGTTATTAATACTCTTTTATACCAATAATACGTGAGTAGTGAAATTAAGTTAAGAGTGAGGAGTATTATGGGAGCAAATACTAGATGTAACAGTAGCCAAGAATGAATCATAAACTACATTGGTGTGGACTGGTTACAAGGTGAGGGAATCAGAATGGAAGGCATAATTGCTCTGCTAAGAATTGGCCTGTGGAGTAATAAACAAAACTGGTATAATGTAATAAGCTTTGAAAATTTTTGTGTACAGTCAACAACAAAAATTTCTGCACCTTTACGATGTTACACAGTACAATGAGACACACCGGACCAAGAATTCTGAACAATCATCATTTACTAGAGTGATTCCTGTTAATTTCTCTGTATTAACTATACTATACAGTGATCCCTCGGTTAATGAATGCCTCGGTTAACGAAATTTTGGTTAACGAATTACCTTCCATAAGAATATTCAATTCGGTTAACAAAAAAAATTCGGTTAACGAATTCCTTACGAATTTTTCCCAACATGTTTCACCTGCTTTCGCCTGCTCACCAGCTGTAGTATTAGTCCGCCAATACAGTAATCGGTTTTAGGGCTTAAATTCGTTACCATTTGAGTAAATATCAAGAAGGTTGTACTATTCAATCATTTTCCAATTCTTGGACAGTATTAAAATTTGTAGTCATTTTAACAATTATTTAACATAATTGAAGTACAGGGAACTAGTTTTTAGCACACCAAACAGCCACTTGACTCCCCCAGAATGGCGTCAGTTTGTGTCTGCTCAGTGAAGGAAGCATCTTGCTTGAGACTCTCTTGAACATAAACTGTTTTTACGTTTTTACAGTACTGTACAATTATTGGTCATTCTGAAATTTATTTTTCATATTGACAATATATAATGCAGTGCAGCGTTATTTAAAGAAAATAATCTTGAATTACACCAAGTGAACTTAAAATTTTATGGGTGAAATGGCGGCATGAAGCATGGGGTGACTTCTCTTCCACCCCACTGCCTTCTCTTCTCCCTTCTCCTCCATCTCCCACTACTACGGTAATTCCCATCATCATCATCATCAACCAGGAGCCTTCTACATGCACACCTCAAAGTAAGTGTACTTTACTGCATTTATTTTTAGTTTGTATGTAATTTTTGGTGAGCTGGAACCAATTACCCCAAATCCCATTGAAACAATGGTTTCTGTTAATGAAATTTTTGGTTAACGAACGACCTTCTGGAACGAATTGTGCTCGTTAACCGAGGGACCACTGTATGTGAAATACAGAATACATCGTATTAGTTATACAATGCATCACAGTCATAATTACCAACTTCACTAAATGAACATGGACTTGGTTAGTGATTGTTGCAAAGGCCATTAGACCCAGAGGTGCAAAACATTTTTTTGTTGACTGTACATACTTAAGGTGAGACCATATGGTTAATGTTGCTTCACAAAAGAATTAATTTCAAGGAGAAAAAATAGTCCTTGACAGCCTTTTCCATGTGTGAGTGTAGCATGTACAATAGCTAAAAAAGTATCTGTGCATACTCTGTGTGAAACAATATGAGACCACAGACGATAGTTATTGGGATATGTGTGTTGTCTCCTTACTACTATGTGATAATAACTACTGTACTTAACCATTTATTTTATTCCCATGTGCCAATTCACCCCCTGTGTTGGATACTGAATGGAGGTGGGTGAAGACACGCATACCAACCCCCCCCCCCCCCAAGATTTCGTACGTATAATTTCGGAAGTCATCGAACCCACTCAGTCAGATACTTTTTTTTAGCTACTGTACATCTTCATCAACAACATTTTATGGCTATTTACCATGCCTGTGTAGGTTAATCAAGATTACAATTCATTTTCCTAATTTTCTACCATGAATGATAATAGTTTTTAATGAGATCCTAGATATTTATACCGCTTTGTACAAAACAGATGTGTAAATTTAGAGAGCTTATTCATAAATTTTCACTATATATCAATTTATTAGCAATTTATGTGGTTGGTGGTCTTTTCTAGTTACTTTATTATGACCTTTATTGTCCAGTGTTAGTACAGGAGGAAACTGGAGTACCCAGAGGAAATCTGTGATGTTTGATAGGGTCACACTGGATAACAAACCTTCCCATGTGTGTCTGGGGCCAGGACGTGAACCATGACATTAGTGGTGAGAGGTACACACGTTACCACTGCACCACCAACACAGTATTAAAAACAATTAAATTGGTTTGAAATCCTGTATGTTTAGGAGTGTGTCTGTAATGTGTATAAAATCACACATACTGTATTTAATATCTTTATGAATATGAAATATATGAGATGATAGAGGGAATTAGTTAGCACACACAATTTGTATACATTACAGTACAGTACTAACAAGAATCACAGTACGGTAGTAAATGTTGTTATTAAGTTAACTTTTAATCTGGCTTATAGTTTTTAATAACTGGAGAAAAGTTTTGTGTTTGGACAAGGTTGACATATACGGTACACTAAATGACTAATTTGAATTTAACCAGAGTTTTAAGATTATCAACGAGAATCTGTGCAATTTATATCACATAACATCACCATCGCCGTTACTGTTTTACAGTCATTTAACATGCTTGCATTGCAGCTCAAGGCTGCATGGTCGCATGGTCAGTTGCAGCCTCTCCTGAGGTTATACAATCTCTTCTCACATTTTTCTTAACCTGTCCAAAGCTCGTTCCTCCTCTTCCATGCCATTTGTCTTCTACTATTGTGTGTTTTCTGTGAATTATATTTCTCTAATACTGTAGCTAACATTTAAACCTAGACTAAGTAATAGCAAGAAATAGATGATGCTTATCAGTATACAGTACAAATGTTATAAATAGAAAGTAACAGTTATAATTACAGTATAGTCTGGATTTACGGGGTTTTTGTTTACGCGTTTGGTCATTTACACGGTGCCTTGCCAGAATGAAATGTTTTAATTACGCGGTAAATTTCATCATTTACGCGGCGAGCGGCTGGAGAGGTCGAGACGCGCTGCGGCATTTTTTACTCACGCAGTCCATTCTTGACCATACGCGGGAAGCAGCGCAGTGAGGGGTGCACATTAGGTCGCTCTTACGTTATCGCTGACGTCATATGACGTATCGGACTGTGATTGGGCCACGCATCCTTACCACCCACGTATTCCCTCTGCCGCTAGCTGTGATTGGTCTAATGTAACATGATGTGCCCTGCCACCAGAAGTCGCGGGCCAGTCTCATTGTTCTCAGTCCACTTATACAGTTCTCTCTTGTGCCCGCTATTCCCCTTACAATGGCTTCCGCTGGACCCCCAACACCCGAGAAAAACCTTGAATTACCTGGACCAAGCCATGATTATGTGAAGGAAATCATCGAGTTGGGGGAGAAAATTAAGTTCATCCTTGACAACGACCCAGACAAGCATTGGTATGAAAAGTCTAATAACCATCTGACGAAAGTTATGGAGCCGTAATCCAGATCTATGTCGACAACATCAATGCTAGTCGTCAACGTAGTATTAAGGACTTCTTCGCCCGCAACCCACCACAACCACAGCCAGCCCAAGTCAGTGATAGTGACAGTGAGGATATGGACTTTGAGGGGTTTGTCTGGGAGGCCATGCAAACCTCTGCGAGTAGTGAAAGTGATTCACCGGAGGGCAACTAATCTGCCCTCTGCCTCGGAACCAGCCGCCATCCATGTGTGCCGACCCATCTTTTCTACTAACGTAAGTGTTAAAAAACCTAATATTATTGATATTTCTCTTAATTATTAATTGTGTGTGCATACCATCATAAAATTAGGATGTTATTTTTACTACAACGTACATATTGTGTCGGAAAAAGTGTATAGTTTGGGGGTCGGCCCAGTCTCTATTTCAATTAATCCCATATGTTCTGTTATTTCGTTTACGCGTTTCTCATTTTACGCAGACCTCCACGGGTTCAATTGACCGGGTAAATGCAGACTATACTACAAATTACCAATAACCTGCATCAAATAGCAAGTACAGTAGCTACTACACCAGTTAGTTTTCACACCAATTAGTATAATATAGGCAGAGTAGTACCATATCTGTCTATCTTATCTGTGGTCCTCATCCAGTCTTGTGTGGAATAGGTCAAGTGGAACAGCAACCTCAAAGACGGAAAGAAACACTAAGGATGTTTGTCAAAAACAAAAATAGAAAGCAACAAAAAAAGGTTACAGCAGTATTTGCTAATACCTGTACAGTATTTTCAGTTTACAGGCTGGCTTAACATGTCTTCTTAACACTTTTATTTTTGTTCTGCAGAGGTTTTAAGGTGTTCATTCCACCATACTATAGTTTTCTTTTCTTGAATACATTAAATGTATGGCATCATAAATACCAACATACAGTACTGTACTGTATACTGTACAGCTGCTCCCCGACTTATGACGGGGCTAGAGACCGACATCCAGGTCGTAAGTCGGAAATGCTTAAATAACACATAGAAAATCGAAAATAGGGGTCTCTTTTTCTTCTCGGCACCACAAAACACTCACTTTTAAGCTTGCCAGCCAGTTTAAAGTGAATTACAGATGAAAATTTTGTCTGTGTGCAGACTTTGGGACTCGAAAATACGTAATTTGACCAAATTTTGGCACAACTGAGGCAGGTTGTAAGTGCGGGTGGACGTAAGTCGAGTAGGTCGCAAGTCGGGGAGTAGCTGTGTATGGAAATTCATATAACTTTCATAGTATTGTACTGTACTGTAATTATTCTTCCAGGTAAAAATTAGACAAATAATTTAGTTCCCAAAAGTCTGAAATACATATCTAAAGTTTTAATTTGCAAAATTAAATATATCTTCCCCAAGGCTGTGTTTGGATGACTTGCCAATTAAAGGAATAGTAGTTTCATTAGTTTAGAACTAGAAATCATGGGTCATTATTAGTACTGTACTGTACAGTTTTCATCAGTACATTCCCAGGACAGAATTAAGGAAGATGTAAGGATTCCTTATTTATATATTTTTATATTAGTAGTCAACAACAAGTTCCATGTATATCTTGTTAAGTATTGGTATACAGGTGTATTTGAGGTACAGTATTATGAACCCAGCTTTATTTAATTTCAGAAAACATTTCTAATCATCATATTGGGTTTCTTATATATCAGGAGTGTTTGATGACTTTCACTCCTTTGACCTTGGGCAGTGTGATCCATAACCACTTATCATGTCATGCTGTCTGGGTCTTGTACCTTAAAAGTTAGTAAAAACCCAAATCACAGCTTATGTTTTCTTGAATTAGTTTAACAACGTGGATAGAACTTTTGAATTTGAACCATTTGTTTTCTTGTAATTTTTTATGATATGTCACCTTTTATAAAGTTATTTAAATCTAGTACGTAGTTATGTGTTTCTTAGAAAGAGGTGGAGAAGTTATCTATTATTAACAGAAGTCTTGTTATCATTTGTCTTAATCTTATCTGTCCTAATTATGTCTCACCTGAGGAGTTCTGGTGTTTACTAACAGATTGTATGTACACTGTACCCTCATTAATTTAGATCGTTATAATTCGGATTTTGGCTTAATTTTTTTCTTAAAAAATAAATTAAACCATTTTAATTTGGAATGAATCCAAAATAACCAAGCTGTTCCAAAAAGTCACTATGGCTGCCACATTAAATATTCTATTTACAGTATACGTACCAGTAATTACTGTGCACACATATAAATATTTAAATATTTTTTAAATGCACATACTATAATAATAAAATATATAATACAGTAGTAAATAAATGTAACACTTACATTGCGAGGTGAGCTGACACTGTAATATGTAATGATATTCCGGAAGTGTAATGGTCATACTGGTAAATGAAGTAAAAACCCACAATGGAGAAAGAAAGGACAAAATCTTGGCGCTGGTATACTAGGATCCTCTTCAGCCAACTAACAGAGCGAAGCAAGGGAGAAAGACATAAAAACAACGGAATCAGGTCACATGGCCTGTCTCCTAAGTTAAAGTAAGGTGGGGATTAGGGATTAATCTTCTTGTATGACAGTACAGGATCAGGTCAGTGGACATTGTTTATGTATTAATGCATATGACAGGTACCTCATTCTGTATCATTAAAGGTTATGGGTACAAACTCTCATTTGGCATGAGTGATTTAATTGGAATGAGTAGATAGATAGAAACTTGGGTTGGGGAAACATGTATGTAAAGCAAAATTCTGTATTTCAGGTTCATACTTCTGTTATGACACTCCTGGAGCATTACAAGATCACATCAAGGAAGACATGGAGGTGAACACTACACAGTTTGCCAGTCTTTATTCACTTTACTCTTGGCCAAATGTGGTCCTCTGCTTTATTGGAGGATTTCTTATTGACAGGTATATTTTGATTTTGATTTATGTACATGATGTAGAATAAAGGGGTTAGGGACACAGGGTCAACATCTCCACACAAATTCATTAATGTCCAATAACTTGACAAAGGTGGTTCAGTTCAAGATCAACTTAGGCTGGAGAGGTTTATATCTTGGCTACCTTGTCTGAGTGTGATAATCTGAAGTGTACAACCTTATTTTCCCAGTTATAGTCTCTGTTTAGTTATTATAAGTTTGTAAAATAGCAAAGTAACAGAGTAAAGTTATAAAGTAAGCAAAGGATGAACTGTTGATGGTAGTGAAGAGTGAATGTAATGAAATTGTGTGAGTTAAATGATAAGGTACTTAAATTTCAAGCCAATTTAACTTTTTTTTATTGTTGAATGGTGATTATAAAGTATACAGTACACATACCACTTTCAGTATATCTACTAATCTATTCAAAGAAAAATATTAAAAGCACAGTGTAATATAGAATTATGAATGGAAGGATAACAGTATTTAGATACTAAAGTTTGTGTTAATCTCTAAATCTCACTTGAAAGTATAGATTATGGATGAAAAATTTAGCTATGCAGTAATTGTGTCATCATCAAGGACATGCTGAATGGTTAACATAATAATCACATATTTTACACAACGTGTTGAAATGTTTTCTTTTCTTTTACAGAATCTTCGGCATTCGATGGGGAACTATTATTTTCTCGTCACTAGTTACTCTTGGTCAATTCATCTATTCACTGGGTGGCATAGTTGATCAGTTTTGGCTGATGCAATTTGGTAGATTTGTCTTTGGGTAAGTTCATTGACTTAGTTATGAGATTAATTATTTTTTGTGTTATTTATTTACGTGTCATTTATTTATCTTCAAACTCATAACCACTTCCAACATCACTACCTCAGTTTGTGTGTGTGAGGTGTGTTTGTGTTCATCCATACTGATACAATCGTGTGTAGATTTACCAGAATAAATGTTGTAGGGGACATTGTGGACTGACAGACATTTTGGTATAATGAGGATTTACCACAACAGATTGCATATATAGTACAGTATAATCTTGTACTGCACACTGCATTCTTGTACAGTGGCCCCTCGGTTAACGAACTCAATCCGTTCCAGAAGGTCGTTCGTTAACCGAAACGTTCGTTAACCGAAACCATTGTTTCAATGGGTTTTTGGGTAATTGGTTCCAGCTCACCGAAAATTTCCTAAATTCAACAAAAATGGTAGAAAAGTTCACTTACTTTGAGGTGTGTATGTAGAAGGCTCCTGGATGATGATGATGATGATGGGATTTAGAATGGGGGTGGAGGAGAAGGAAGAAGAGAAGGCATTGGGGTGGAAGAGAAGTCACCCCATGGTGCCATTTCACCCATAAAATTTTAGCTCTCTGGTTTAATTCAAGATTATTTTCTTTAAATCAACGCTGCACTGCATTATATATTGTCAATATATAAAATATATTTCAAAATGACCAATAATTTGCTTGGAAACACAGAAAAAAAGCGTTTAGTTGAAGAGAGTCTCAAGCAAGATGTTACCTCCAGTGAAAACAGAGAGAGACTGACGCCTGTTTGCTGTGTTAAGAGGCTGGATGCCGCGCATTAAACTAGTCACTTTACCTTCAATTTTGTTCAATAATTGTTAAAATGACTAAAAAATTGAATATTAAACTTTAAAAATTATTGAATAGTATAAACTTCTTGATATTTACAAAAATAGTAAGGAATTAAAGCCCTAGAACCGATTAATGTATTGGCGGACTGATACTAAAGCTGGTTGCCCGGTCAGTGCAAGCGAAAACATGTTGAGGTCGGTTCGTAAGAAGTTCGTTAAGCGAAATTTTTTTCGTTAACCGAATTGAAGATCCTTATGGAAGGCAGTTCGTTAATCGAAATTACGTTAACCGAGGTGTTCGTTAAACGAGGGGTCACTGTACTGTACTGAATATGCCTTGATAAAATTTCCACAAATTCAAGAATTAAAAAAAAAAATAGAAATGCTTGTCTTTTTTTTTCGTGGAGTTTGAAACCAATTTACTCAATGGGTAATCTTCAGTTCCTCAGGGATTAGTGATGCTGCCTTGCCAGCGAAGAGGGCACTTAAAAGCATTACATACCATATATAAAATGCCCACTTCCCACTCTGTAAAGGTGGCTGGTGACCGGAAGGCCATACAGCTGTAAACTTAGTTCAGCTTTGCCTGATGGCAATTTGAGACACCTTGTCATCAGGTGCTCACAGCAAGTGCAGATAATGACCTTAAAACAGTCATGTTTGTTAGATACTTTATCACATAAGATGTCCACATTCAATCACTTCAGAGCATATGTATTACTAGTACTGTAATTACAGAATATATTTCTTTGATGTAAGAAGCAGGTTGTTGGGATCCCCACAGTTTCAAGTACAGTACATTATTTGTATTCTGTTTTTAACCTTATACTGTATAGAGATTGATTTTAGAAGGTAGTAAGCATCACAAAAATTGTGACTCAAGTCCCAGGTGGCTGATTTGATCTGACTTTCTGCCTCATTTACACACAATTGCAGAGTCTCAATTGTTTCTCTTACTTTGACAATACAACATATATATTTCTCACTCATGGTCGGTTTTATTTTTTTCGATTTCTGTATTTATTTATATATATATTTTTTTAATGGTACAATTCCCCCCCACTTCCCCCAAAGCCCTGATGTGGGTCAGTGACCTGTGCCTGGGTGGGCTAATCCCCAGTTAAATACAAAATTTTTTTTATCTTGGTATGCTTTTATACATCCCTAATTTTGTGCATGTACTGTACAGTAATGAGTTATGGCATTATTTATCTCAACCTATATGTGTCCTTTTAAATTTTTAGTTAATTTTTTTTAAGGGCGTCTTACATTAGGTCAAGTTTGTTTTTGATGAGTTCCTTTTATTTCCAGGGTCATGAATGAAGGGCCATAGTCAATTGATAGATTATTGTACAGTTGAAATGACTAAAAAATAGAATTTCAGTAAAACAAAATATTTTCTTCAGCATTTGCTTTCCAGATTTATTTATTTATTTATTTTTTTTTGGGGGGGGGGGATAAAGAAAACAATTCCAATTGGTTTTCTTGCTCCCATTACCCTCTTTTCAGCAGAGGATAATCTGGTGTCTGGGAAGATATTACAAAAGAGTGCTCATAAGTTATATCTCCCAATTTTACCCATTCATTGCATCTGGTTAACTTTATGGCCTACCACCCTGTGAGTCAGTAATTGAAAAAGTATTAAGCATATGTAGTAATGAAAATATATAGGGTACTTTCTCCTGATGGCAACAGTGTAGGACTCGGCTGGATCTGTCTGTCTTCTCTCTGTCAACTTGTTCATTCTTGGAAGGTTACGCAACTCTCTGCACTGCTAGACACAGGGTGTAGCAGCAGAATTTTTTGTTTCCACTCATAATAATCTTGTGAAAATGTAGTAATTGCTTTATATGAATGGCCATTCATTTTCACTTGATAATTCACTTAGTTCATCTGTATCATACCCAGCAAGAATATCACCATAATTAGTGGGGTCAGGGGATGGTGTGGTGGCAGCCCACAGTTGTCATACTCTCTTCTCTGCCATGATCAAACACACTGACTCATGCACTTGGTAACATTATGAAATTTGCTAATTGGGCCTTCTATCAGACAGGAGTTATGAATGCAGAAACCATATATGCACCAGTTACAATGCACTCATATTATTCAGAGACAACATACTGTATGTACCAGCCACAGTTAATGAGTTAAAACTTAATAACCTGAAAAATACTACAGTAAAACCTAGATAAATCGTACTTCAATATATCGGAATTCGCTCTTTTTGGACTCTTGAGATGCTCTGATCACCAGAAATGGGGAAGATTTAATAAAAAAAAAATCTTATGAAGTGAACAACACTTGGTGAATACTGTTCTAATCAGATTTGCTATAGGCCTACTGAGAACTAAGACACTTGAGTATGTAAGCAGGCTGGGGCTGATCAGGTGTTGCCACATAGGTCAGGTTTATTTATTTGTTGATTCAGTATTATATTCTCTTATGATTGGCCTCTTATGGTTTATGATTCATCAAGATTATAACATCTTTAGTAATAGAGAAAAATACAGTACAGTCAACCCTCACTTTACGCGGTTAATTCAACCCACGGCTGCCCGCGTAAAGTGAACAACATAACATATGGGATTAATTGAAATAGAGACCGGGCCGACCCCCAAACTCCACTTTTTCCCGACACAATACGTACGTTTTACTAAAAATAACATCTTAACTTTATGATGGTATTCACAAACACATAATATAGAAAGGAACAGTCAATAAACTGAAGGTTAGGTTAGAAAAAAACAAGGTTGGAGTTAACACTTACGTTAGTAGAAGAGATGGGTCGGCGTACGGGAATGGAGGCTGGTTCCGAGGCAGAGGGCAGGCTACTGGCCCTCAGGTGAGTCACCATCACTGTCATCCACACTTGTCAGGGCCTCCTTGACAAATCCCTCAAAGTCATCATCACTGTCTCTACCTCTGTCACTATCACTGGCTTGTGCTGGCTGTGGTGGGTTGCGGGCGAAGAACTCTGTTATGCTTTGCTGACGGCTGGTGTTTATGTTGTCGTGATAAACCTTGATGTAGGGCTCCATAGTCTGCAACAGCTGGGTAGTGAAGATTTCATACCTGTTTGCGTCAGGGTCGTCGGAAAGGAGGAGCTTGACTTTCTCGATACACTTGATGGCACCCCTAACATTACTATGGGATAAGAGGCGTTCTTCTTGGGATGACGCACCACCTGCCTCTTCACTGACGTCATCATCATCTACCATCTCGTCGGTAGTCACATCAGGATCCCTTATCACCTCCAGGATGTCGTCGTTGGTGGTCTCGGAGAAGCCTGCAGCTGTAACACTCTGCGCAGTTTCTCTGGCAAGGTCCACTGCTACTGCAACAGTCTGAATCTCACCAGTCACAGATTGACTCTGCTTAACGGCCGGAATGCCTTGCAACACATATCTCCATGCGTGACGAACAGTTGCTACAGACAGCTGATCCCATGCCTCCACCAAGAAGTCCACAGCTTTCTTGATGTTGAATATTCTCCAGAATTGTTTTAAAAGTACTTGTTGCCCTGCCAGCTGTTGATCCTCGTCGTCTTCGCTCTTGCTATCGGTGGTGGTGTCACTCAGGTTACGCAACTCTTCCCTGGTGTTGGTGTAGTCGTTCAGGAGCTTGAATTTTTTAGTAGAGAATGCAGCTTTTACATTACAGATTAACTCTTGGTCCATGGGCTGTAATATAGACGTAGTGTTGGGAGGAAGGAAGACCACTTTTACGTTGGGGTGACGATCTAACAGTAGGGGCGAGTGTCCTGGTGCGTTGTCCAGCAGCAACAAAATCTTGAATGGCACATTCTGTTGCTCACAGAATTTCTTCACATCGGGAACGAAACAGTTATTAAACCAGGAGAGGGACAGTGTAGAGAACATCCACGCCTTACGTGCGGTCAGCCAGTGGACATTTAGCTTGGTCATGTCCATGCTCTTGTAGGCGTGCGGCTTGCGTGCTGTGTGGATCACCGATAACTTGAGCTTACAGGTACTGGAGGCATTGGTGGTAAACAGGACGGTGATGCGCTCCTTCTGCAACTTCCGGCCCCGAATCTTGCTGGCATTCTTCACAACGAAGGTCTTGGAAGGTAGCTTTTTCCAAAAAAGACCAGATTCGTCCATGTTAACACCTGGTCGTCGGTGTACTGTCCTTCCTCCATAATCTCATGTAAAAACGGAGGAAATTCCCTAGCCACAACACGATCAGCACTAGCTTCTTCACCACCAATGTTGATATTGGTGATCTTGTTCCTCTTCTTAAACCTCTGTAACCACCCAGAGGAAGCATTAAAGGGTTTGGGCTCTGTAATTCCCATCTTTCGTGACACTGCAGCATACAGTTCACGTGCGTACTCCTTAACAGAGCGCATGTCCACCGCCATGTTCCGTCGCGCCTGACGCACCAAGTAGCTCACAAGTAATTTTTTCGTCTTGAGAAGCACCTGGTTGTGGAAATACTTGATCATAGAAGCACCTGTAGATTTTGTGATGTTCATGTGCTCCTTTATCTTGGCTGCATCCTTCTTAATTGTCCTGATCGTAGACTCGTTAACACCATGCTGGCGCGCGAGATCAACCTGTCTTGTTCCTTTCTCCAACTCTTGTATGATCTTGTACTTAATTTCGTAGCTTAAGGAACGTCGTGTCTTCTTTGGCTTAGGGCGGCTGGGTCCAGGTAAGGAAAGGTTTCTCTCTGGGGGTGGTGGTCCGGCGGAAGCCATTTTACAGAACAATGGATGCACGATTACACGGTGTGGCCTGGAGGGATGAAAGTGCCGTGGCTAGGTCAAGCGTCGTCTTTCCTCCCTCCCTCCCTCCTGCAGGTGGACACGTCATATTACTTTAAACCAATCACAGCTAGCAGCGGAGGGAGGTAAGGATGCATGGCCCAATTACAGTCCGATACATCATATGACGTCACTGATAACGCAACAAAGACACACACTGCGCAACCTACTCGCGCTGCTTACACAACATGGTGGATGGCGGGAGAGATGGCGGGAGGTTTGGATCCAAAAATGGCGCGGCGCGAGATGACCGCCAGCCGCTCTCCGCATAAAGGGGTACACGCACCGCGGAATGTGAGCATTCCGGTTTCGGCAGGGTACCGCGTAAACGTGGAAACGCGGAATGTGGGACCGCGTAAAGCGAGGGTTGACTGTACTGTATGTAATTTATAATATGACTTGAAAATAAAAGGGTAAGCTGTTTCATAAGGTTGTTTACTCAAAATGCATTTGTGTGAGCTTTCAGTAGACTAGCTTACAACAGGGGTCACTATAAAACACTGTACTGTATAGCATTTGATATGAAGATACCTTTCTAACAACGTTATTTACTACCTTTTGGGCGTTATGTGATTACTCAGTTTGGCTACTTGTACACTTATACAAATGATAGTGAATAAACCAGGGTATATGCAGATACATAATACTTTACACTATAATATTACTTATTAAGTGAAGATAAATACACTACAATAGTATTTATTAAGTGGTGATAAATACACAACTGTACTGTACTAATTTACTAGGTGTTGAAGACAGACATTGTGTAAGCTGATCAGCTGTTTGCTCTTTGTAAACAATTGAGTATGAAATGACTCATATTCAGTGTGGGATTCTTTTTTCAGGAAAGCTGATTCTTTTAGGATAATATTTTATCAACCTGGCATCAAATGATCCTAAATTATATGAGAATTGTGGTGGAATTGCATAAAGAAGTGTTAAAGGAATCTTGTGGGAGAGAAAGGGAGCGAGACACCCACCTATGCTACCCTCCCACCCCTCTGCCTGCTGTTCCCAGATAAACATTCATCTTCCACATACAATATACTCCTACAGTAGAACGTCGATGTAACGCCTTTCCAAGAGAGGTCGCTTTAAACTGAATTCGCTCTAAATCAAAGTGTTGTTTCAATGGAATGATTTAGTTTGGTACTTGAGAGAAACACAAAATACTAAAAAGACTTTGAGTCTACCCAGATGTACCTCAGCCCATCTCCTAGAATAAACAAAACATTGTTTTTTGTAGTATTATGTTAAAACAAACACTCATAAATCAACACAGCTAAAATTAAGGGGTGCAAAATGGTTTGTTTACTGGTTAGAAAGATATGGGGGGGAGGGAGGTGAGGTGAGGTGATATGTTTGACAGCTGATGCCAAGGTCTAGTGCTTAGTTATTTATCTGTCCATAAGAGTGACTTTCAGTTTTTCTCTTATAAAATGTCACTGAATTGACATGGAAGAATAGAATTAACATAGCTGGAATTCTTATAAGATAGTGATTAATTTGAATATAAACATGCTATGTAGCTAGCATTCGGCATACAAATTTTAGTTCTAATTTAAGAATTTTATTAAAAGAGGAAAAAATTTTATCTTGTGCAAAATATGTGATGTTTATATTCAAATTATTCGCTGTCTTGCAAGGATTCCAGCAATACAAATTATATTCTCCTAACTTTAATCTGTGACATTATATAAGATAAAAACTTTAAGCCTAAAACCACCAAACCCTGGCTGGCAGGGAGGGGGGGGGGAGGTGACAGTGACATGTTTGACAGGTGGCACCCAAGGTCTAGTGAAGTATTTATTTGTTTATTTACGTTCTTTTGCTTGAGTTTATGTTTTTTGCTTATAAAATGTCATAGAAGTGATTAATTTGAATATAAGCATGCTATAGTTTGCACTAGACAAAATTTTTAATAATCATTTAGTGCATTATTTTGAGTACATGTACAGTACAGCTTTGCCCTTAGGACAGTGTAGTGTGCCCAGAGAAACATTAGGCGCAAATTTTAAAATATGATACGCCAGATTGACTCGCGCAAAATAGGAAAGATTCGCTTTAAATTAAAACATTGTCCTTAATTGTGGGTGTCGCTTTAAATCAATGATCTTAAATTGAATCGCTTTAAATTGACGTTCTACTGTACACTTATTTGTTCTTATTTTTATCTTTATAGTACTGTACAGTATACAGTTTTCTCTTATTCATAAGACAAATTCTGTGGTTACTTACATGTAACACTTTATAATAAATAACAATCATCTTGGTGACAAGAAAGTTGTTGACAACCAGACTTATATGTCTGATTTTCAACCCAGAGAGTTCTGTTTCATATTTTTTTCATTGTTGATGTAATATTCTTTTAATAACCTTGTTATACATTTAAAGACCTTAGTTGTTGAAGTGCAGTAAAAACATAACTGGTTTTCTTTAAACAGTTCAGGTAAGCAGTGTTATCTCTAACTCCCCTCACCATTTTAGCTTAAGGTCCACGTAGGTAACATTCCTACAAATCTCTAACCCCTTGCCCCATATATTCGCTTTTTACTAACTTTCACATTTTTCGGACTGTGGTCTGCCCCAATTAGTCAGATTTATCGAGGTTCTGTTGTATACCGTAGATAGGGCACCCTGGTTTTATTATACTGTACTGTACTGTACTGGACGAACAATTCATACCTTTTTACTTTTCTCATCTTATTAGACATCCTCATGTGCATGCTGTTCTATTTATAATATTTTTAAGATTAGTAAGTTTTTAAAAGGGGTCAGGTAATTTATGTACAGCCTGTATAATAATTTGTGAACAGGAGGTATAAAGAATGACTATAAGAGAAAGCTGATAAGTAGAAGTGTAAGATTTAATTTAAATTTTTGACATTATTATATGTATTTTAACATATTGTTACTTTTTGCTGTTGCTTTACTGTATTCTACTCTGTTATTTATCTTTATTTATATTTATTTTTTGTATCTCTTGGTCCACCACAGAAAAAGTGGCAGAGGATTAAAGATAATTAGATAGTTGCAGTAGGTATACTCCATGGGTTACTAGGTAGTGCTCAGGACTACGGTACCAACTTTGGAAGTGCTGTTTTAATCCTGTGCAGGCAAGGATAATGGAACATTAATGTGCTGTTTTGTTTATGGAGCCAGTCACTATCCATGTCAGTAACCAAAGCTAAGCTTGTCTATTTTATCTAAGGTTTACCACCCAATAAGTTGTGAGAAGTCATTATTATTTTGTTGTTCAAATTTTTGGGTAGAATGTGTTATAAAGATCATATAACATATTCTGTCCATTTTTTGTTCTAGTATTGGTGGAGAATCACTTGCTGTAGCACAAAACATCTACACTGTTAGTTGGTTCAAGGGGAAGGAGCTCAACACAGTGTTTGGCTTGTTGCTGAGTATGGCAAGGGTTGGATCAACAGTCAACTTCCTCACTATGATACCTATCTACAATTGGGTCAACAATTTTGCGGATGGTTATCGGACACTCGGAATTTCTTTAATGCTTGGTTAGTTACATTTTGTTGTCATTTATGTGAAATGAATTTTATTTTGAGAAACAAATTTATCAAAAGATATATCAAAATTTCATATTATGCAGATTGGCTGTAAGGTAACAAAGAATGATATTAGGTTGAAACAGGGTGAATCATCTGTAAGTGAGAAGCTAATGGAGCTTGGTTAGGGTAGCTGAAGTTAGACTAGCCAAGGTTTTATGAAGTCTGGGTTAGGTTACATTCACATTAACATTTTGTGGACTGGATGGGTTACTAACACTGAAGACCAAGTGGGATCCATGTGATGCCTATAATTTTTGGGTGGATTTTTGCCATGTTCACAGAATTATAAATGTTTCCGGGACTTCCTGTGTGGAACCAATTCACCTGGTGTCTCATTTGTTGAATTTATTTATTTATTTACTAACACAAGCAAAATAAATAAAAAATTACAAACTTTTTCTTAATTAGAATAAGTAAACACTAATTAAAAAATATATATACCCTTGTATATTTAATTTTTAAGTCTTGCTGCAGGCTCTTGAAACACAAGTATACTAACATCTGAATAACAAAACAAATTCCATGTTGTTCATACATCTAAGAAAAAAGTTCTTTTGGAAATAAAGTTTCTCGATGCCATTTGTCCATTTATGATTTATAGCACATGGCCATCCATGACTTTATTTATGATCAGTTTATAGACACACAAAAACTAAACAAAAAGTTCATAGTACTGTTAAGGAGTGACAGGGCAGCAAACTTCACTGGGGACTTCATGGACCCCACTTGGTCTTCTGTGTTACTAATTTGCTTTAATTTTTAACTCGATTAATTACTTAATGTTGGTAGTAAACACCATTGTATGGGAGAAATACATGCCCTTTTTTTCTCTCATCACTTGTTTGGGCACCTTCCCGTTGCTGGATGAAGGTGGTTGAGGGCATTTGGGAGCCATCACAAGCACAAGGAACACAGTTGTTAAGAGAGCAGAGTAGCACACGTGCGAGACGGACAAGTGTTTATCCCGGACTGAGGCGGAGGGAGCGCGGGTGGGCCAGCCTCCTAAGACAAGAGGAACATTTTGCGGGACACCACAAAACTTGCGCACTCCCTGTCCCGGCTGCGAAAATGACGGCAACTTTAAAACTACCCGCAGACATTCTTGGGTACATCCAGGGTGTCATCCGCAAATAATTGAGGATCGCGAATAAAACAATGTGAATTGTCAGGGCATGCTGTATACATAATTGTACTAACTTTTTACATATTAACACTGCTTTAACAGTATTTTTGGTACAGTAATATACAGTACAGTACTGCACAACACACATCGTATACGAAAATAGCAGTGGGCAAGCAAACACTCCAATGCCTGGAATCGAGAGATATTTTTGGAATTCTCCGCAGATGCTGATGATGCAATCCTCGGAAATTCATTCTTATACCTTGAATGGAAAAATGTTTCCTGGAATTTCTTGGAATGCTAAAAAAAATCTATCGAATGGAGAGCTTTTGGGAATCAAAGATTCCGGCTAATGAAGAGATTACTTACAGAAATACACTGAGCAGCACTGGGAAACAATTTTTGCACTTTTTTCCCACCTTTCACTCTTTATTTTACCATCTTATTCACCCCCATGCATTAATCGGACTCTTGCACATAATATCAATTATCATTTTCATCAAGAATATGAAAAACAACCAAATTTACAACTTTTAATGATTTAAGTAAGCCACCAAAATGGGTGGGAAGGCAGTGTGTGCGAAAGAGGTGGGCTTCCCTCTCACACATGGTGGTCCCATTCAAACAATACCACAAGACTTAGGCCCACCCATGCAGCTTGGAACAGTCCTTTGAGTGGCTACCCAGGTGGCTTGAAATACTGTAGACTGTTAACCTGATTCTTAACCTTTAGACTCTTAAGGGTTAAGAGTCAGGTTTCGTATCAGTTCCATTTTGGCCACGTTGCATCATTGCAAGAAAAAGGTTTGTATGCTTCAAAAAAAGTACAGTGTGCTGTATATAAATTCAATTTCTGAGGACATTCCTGCGAGAGCCACATGAAGAAGGAAATGCTGGTGAAACATTATTAGGATGACACAAATGAAAAGTTGGAAGGGGAAAAATAGACCATGGAAGAAATGGATAGGGGAAGAAATGAGCCATGGAGGAGTTGGGGAGACTCCGCAACTAAATTATAATACTGAAAGCCATGTGGAGTATTTTGTTATAGTGGATACTCAGCAGGTGCTGAGAAATATAAAACCTTATTTTCGAGCTGATTTTTTTTTTCATTATGTAATTGCTGTGGTTGTTCATTTTGTTTACACCTTTTGGTTCATTGCTTGTGTTTCTCCCACTTTAGAAATATGTAGAGGCAGAGTAAGAGAGAGCTAGACCATAGTATTTTTTTTTTTAAACTTCATACAATTTATGTTTTCAAAATTTTCATCATTGCCTTCTATGGAAACATTATATGTGAACTGGAGGTAGTTACTGCCATGTCTAAATGTGATGTTTAAGAAATAGTTCCTGTTATTAGTGAATCTTGGTTTACTTTCATAATTTTCATGGTTTAGCCATGATGATTAATCATCAGTGTTTTGTTCAACCAAATGTTTTAACTATTAACTAATGTATGACTAATAACTGAAAATTTTATTTTGGTAGATAATGTTTGTAAAGTATGCCATAACTTCATTAACAATTTACCAATTTGGTTAAAAGTGATTTTTCCTCTTACCAGTTAGAGTAAACATTAAACCGCCTCACTTAAGCTACAATACAAAGTTTGTCCTCAGTTAGAGGAAAAAAGATCAATGTGGGAAGGTTAAAAAATCGAGACCTTAATTTATCAATATTTGAATCAAGTACTTTTTTTTTTTTATCATCTTTGCCACTGATCGGCTTGCTAGCCGCTTGGGCAGTCAGAAAGGTCTCTGTTAAGCATGGTTGGCAAGTACTGGGTCCAGGATGTATGCCATTGTTACCCATAATAGATAGGCAAATGATAAGCATGAAGCCAATAAATGCAAGTACTAAAATAACACTTCTCCTATAGCTGGTATCACCTGTGTGTTTTCCCTCGCTTGTGCCATCATACTTGGTCTCCTGGATAAGAGGCGATCTGAAGTATTGCGCCTTGATTCCGCCAAGTCTGGAGAGAAGGTTCGGCTTTCAGATGTCCTGTCATTTCCACTGTCTTTCTGGCTGCTCTCCATTATTTGTGTATCATATTATGTTGCCATCTTTCCCTTCATTGGTCTTGCAAAGTAAGTAAACAACTCTCCTTTCTTGTTACAATATTTATTGTAATTCTTGAATTTTATATTTTATGCTTAGTCATTATCAGTGATTAGTATTACTGTAATTAAATATGACCATTATTGATTTGCAGATTATTAATTATACTATGAAGACAAATAGCATAACAGAAAAAAATATCATAATATCCATTCATTTATGGCCTACAGGCTTTGGTGATCTACCATGATTGTTACATTGACTTGATAAGATACCACCTTGTCGTGCTCCCTGAGTGCTACTATAACTGTCTGTCCGGCCATAACCTAATCCATCAATTCCTAGAGGGAAAGGGTTCCCATAGATATAGAAGTTGCCATTTGATTAAAAGGATAAGAAGGTTTTTTAAATGATAACTATAATGTAATGATTTTCTGCCGTCTTTTGGTCAAAGAGAATGTCATTCCAGGCATCAGTTAACACTCATGGCTTCTCTCATGCTTGATCACTGCTGGTTTTACTGCAGTGTGCTCATGTTTTATGGTTCCCTCCCCCCTTTTTATTATCACTGCTACAGGACAGTCCTCATATTATACTATAGTATAATATAATACAAGCCCTTGCAGCTCATTGGCTCATAAATAATGTACAATTAATACTGATATATTGCAAATAAATCCATATATAACTGTTGAGGATACCCAGTTCTGGCTCACTTTAATTTTCACTTAATATATGTTGAAGATATAACTGCTTGAAAATATTAACTTTCAAGATGTGATTGGAAAAAAGTTTAAAATAAAGGATAAGGATTTGCCTTAGCAACACAGCAGCATCCCTAGTGCTTTGCCATGGACCTTCTGACCTCCATACACGTGCCACACAATTTTGCGATGGAAGCCCATAGATACAGTAATACCTTGTTACACCAGACTACAGTAATTGTGGAGCAGTTTCAAAATCAGTTGGCTGGGAAGTGGAAACTATAAGGGAAGAAGGATGTCTGAAATCCTTACATTAATACTGTTATAGAATTAGTCTTGCCAGTCCATTGAGTATTTACACTCATTGGGCTGGTCTGTAGGAGTTAGTTTTATTTAGTTTTATTCATTTGCTTTGTTGCAGGGCAGTAGTCACATTTCATGATAAAGTTGGTTGATGAATTACCATATTTTGCGACGTAGAAGACGCCCCTTTTATTAAAAAAATATATCTTGAAAATTACCATGCGTCTTCCACGACGCTAGTTGATGGGTTGTAGCGGAGGTTTTCTTAGGGTCAACTGAAATCAGCCCCTTTCAAAGACTGATACCTCATTACTTAGCAATTACAAGTATTCTCTATACTGTAAAACAATTGATTTAACTAATATTGTTGATATGCTGTGAAAAATACGATTATTTACTTACTCAGTAGGTAAAAAATAAAAAATAAACGGCTGCTGCTGTGCGGTTTGTTTACTAATGGCAGTGGTGTGACAGCGCTATCTATTGAGGAATTGCATCATTGTCATACCGACAAAATCAAGAGAAAAAATTTAAACACTACAGCCTGCTAGATGCGGAGGTGACCAGGTGTATAAATTGAGTGCTGTATTAAAGATTTCCACTTCTTATACAGATTTTTTATACAAAAATTTATGAAAATGACGACTGATAGCAGTTTTAAGTGATGATATTCATAGAGGTGTGTGAACTTGTGCCAAAAGGGCTGTATATCAAGCAACGGTTTCACTGGTGTCGGTTAGTAAGTACAGTACAGTATAAAAAAAAATTTCCTAGAATTACGTTTCCAAAATCAGGGTGCGTCTTCCACGATGCAGCGTCTTCTACTCCGCAAAATACGGGTATATGTTAGCGATGGATGGTAGTAGTGTATTCCACAGGGGTTAACTCTTCATTTGGAACTGAAAAATATTCCCAGGGCCAAGGCCAAAACCCATGATGATGAGTTCAAGAATTTAGGTGAATACGTCCTCCGGTGTGTAACCACCATATCTTGCCACAGATTCAGACAAAACATTGACGCAAACTTATTTTGTCTCCTTTAAATAGTCTGTGAATTTGTCACAATTCAGTCAGGAAAAGAAGGGAATTTATTTTCTAAATTTTTGTAGCAACCCTGTATAAGTATTCTGTACCTTTGCACTTGGATATAAGAACTTTAGTTATAACCTCGTGTATATAAGCTTCTTTGAACACACTATCCATTTTATCAATTTCTTCTTCCTACCAATATTTACATGGCTTGTCTATCATAGGCTGTCCACAAAGCCTGTAGGTCATAAAATGTGGGATTGATTCTGAAATACCTATTTATGGTCAAAGGCGAATGGGTAGTGCAGTATCCCTCTCTCCCTCCTTATGTTGACAGAAAATTTTCAGGTCAAGAGTGTTCATTTAAAAACCCATCTGCCTTTCTAGCTGTGAATGGTAACATCCATATCTTTGGTAGACCCTTTTTCCCACTGAGAATTGATAGACTGGGTTGTGTTGCAAAGATAAACAATCTGTATAATAGTTTGGCTACTGTACCTGAGTACAGTAGCCAAACTATTATACAGTATTGTTTATCTTTGCATACGTAGGCTTTGGCAATTTGTGACGGTGAAACTATCATGGACTAATCATAAACCTTCACTCATAGTGGACTTAGGGATCAATCCCCCATTTTATGAAGTGTAATTTATTAATGAATTTATTTATTTATTTATTATAATGTAATATAAATTTCATTATGTCCTTATTTCTACAGAGTTTTCTTCATGCGGAAGTTTGATTTAGATGACACAACTTCTAATGCCGTCAGCAGTATTGTTTACATCATTTCTGCTTTTGCCTCTCCATTAATGGGTTTCGTGGTGGATCGCACTGGTCGTAATATTCTTTGGGTGTTTATTGCTGTGATCTTCTCCCTGGGCTGTCATGCTATGCTCACCTTCACCTTCATCAATCCTTTCATTCCCATGGTATGTCTACAGTACTGTATAGTAAAATATTTAATGTGTATAAACATCTCATCCTTACATTACCTGATTTGATCCAACCTAACCTCAACTAAATTATGCTATACATACAGTATTACATATTTTATATAGGATTTGAGATCTCAAAATAGTTCATGTTTCTCTATGGTTGATTAAAGGGAGACATTGATGAACATTTTATATATTTTTTTTTAACATAAGCAAAACTTTTGTCCTCAGAGTATTCTAGGCCTGGCTTACTCCCTTTTGGCCAGTGCTTTGTGGCCAATGGTCTCCCTTATCATCCCTGAGCATCAACTGGGTACTGCTTATGGCATGTCAGTGTTATTAGTTTAAGTATTGTTGTTTTTGGTTATATTGTTTATTAAGGAGATGTATTACTTATGGTTGTTCTAATTTTTACCTCACAGTTAGGGTGCAAATAGGTTAGTGTGCATACAAAATATAGTTGATAGTTGTGTGTACATGCATATATATATGTGTGTGTGTGTGTGTGTCTGGTTTGTCAGCTCTTACTTACATTTCAGGATGCAGAGTGTCCAGAATCTGGGTCTTGCCCTCATCAGCATGTTGGCAGGACTGATAGTGGATAAGAAAGGTTATTTGGTTCTGGAGATATTCTACATGGTGTGGCTCTGTGGTAAGTTGTTGCTGTGCTTTCTATCTTTGCTAGAAACTATATAGGAAGTATTTGTAGTTACTACTCTTGGATGATCTAATTTGTGATATTTTAATACTCACATTTCTCAGTTTACTTATTATTTAAAATTTTGCAGGTAGTTTCTCATATTATGGTGGTGGGTGGTCATCAGCAAGACCAACACAGACTTTTCCCTCCTTCTCCTGTTATTCATTCTGACTAACTCCCATAACAGAAGTGTTCCCTGTCTTTAACAAGACCCACCTAGATATTGAGAAGGATATCTTGACAACTTTTAATAGAACACCATAAGTGATTGCATTTGTAATAACAATTTACTGTGACTGAATGAGGCCAAATGAAGGAAGAGTCTGAGTTATTGTTGCATTATGGTAAAAGACTTACATGAGCAGATTTTTTTTATTTATTTTTTTTTTATTTTTTTTTACAGAAGATATAAATTTTAAGGATCATCTAAAGATAAACCCTTCATTTTTTCACCTGAAGATTAACCACCTTATTCTAACCAAACTTAACCCCCCAGTAGCATTAGGGTGGTTAGTCTTCAGGTTAAATAAACTAGGGGTCAGATTTTCTGGAGATCCCATTTTAAGTGGGTGATGGATATTGAGGGCATTAATTTTACATTTCTTATGGAGTAAAAAAAATGGTGATTGACAGTTGAAGTAGCCAGTTGAGTAGCCTCTGATTTCTTCTTAGCTACAATGCCTCACTTATACTGAGAGCTTCCCCTTCTGAGTGGTTGCCCAGAACAGCAGAGCCTCCAGGCCATCTTAACATTACATACAGTACCTCCTTTGTCCACTACAGTATCCTCCTATGATGAAACATGTCTCCCAACATACCTGCTGTATTACCCTGATGCACCTTCTTTACTGACCTCTCCTCCATCATCTGTCTCACGTATCCATACTATTTCATCAAGCCTTTCATGACTCATTCCACCATTGCATAGTTGACATCCTCTGCCTTCTCAACCATTTCACATGTTCTATACAGTACACCTCAATATTTTTTACCTCTTTTTTTTTTTTTTTTTTTTTTTTAGTAATCCCAGATTTAGCCCTCAGGTAACCCATCTTTGTTAATTGAATTTTAGAGTGTTTTGATGCATTCACTCCTAATACACTGAAATTGGAGGTTGGTTATTGAACAGGAGCTTTCACTGCAGATTTAGTACAAAAAGCACCTCAACCATTTGGTATATTACAGGGATAGAGTGAATAAAGGAGCTTTATATAATACAATACTGTATTTGATTATGAACACTACAAATTTTTGTGAATATGAATGCGAATACGAATAAAAAAATGTCTCTGAATGCAAATGCATTATGAAGGCACAGTAAACCTTCGAAAGTACAGACAAAATCTCAGCAGTCAGATGTTTGATATTAAAAAGCTACGCTGATTTTTCTTATTAGAATATTGGGTGTTATCAAATTATTCTGTGGATATGAATACGTTGTCATAGTATAGTATTTGAATATGAATGGAAAAACTGCACTTTAATTTTTTTATAACAATGTATTTGAATGCGAATATAATTAACTTGAAATGCTGTATTCAAATAATTTTGAATGTGGATACAGAATGCGAATACCCCATCCCGGTACACTAATCATTGGCATGTGAACTTTTTTTCACCCTCAAAAGCTGCTTTGGCTTCAACTGCTCTCATCGCTGTGGTGGACAGTAATGGTGGCGGGTACCTATTGAAGTCACCTGCTCAGAGGGAAAAGGAAATAAAAGCTTCTGAGGGGGAAGAAAATTCGTCACTGTAGTTGAGACACCAGATGTTATTCATGGTGAAAAAAATTTGAGTAGGTTTATTTGTCAAATACTGTACTGTATGATGTGGGAACTATGTCATAAGTATCATTTTTATGGAGTTTAATTCGTCACTTGTGTAATTTGTGGGATAAAAGCTTGATCTTACACACTCGGCAGGCTTTTAGGAATGTGTTTCTTTAAAATGCTAGTGGTGAGGATGTAGCATAATTTATTATGTTTAAACATGGTATTATTTCTGAACTATGATTGACTAAGAATTTTTTAACAAATTCTGTCATCATATTTACCCTAGTATTTTCACATATTGAACACCTTCCTTTAGTTGATATCTTCATTGATTTGTTACAGTCACAATATTATAAAAGTCATTGATAATTATTGAGGGGGCAGCCTTTAAGTGGTCTCCAATTGCCAGATGGAAAAGAAAAACAAGAGAAAGCAGGGTGTGAAGATCCATGACCACGCAGGTCCTTGGGCGTCTAATGCATCTGATGGCCATATTCACAGGTGGCATGCCCTAAGTTTATGGTGGCAGGTTGTATTCAAGAATGGAGTGTGAGCACTCCGATGGGTGGGGGCCCCAATCCATTGAGTAGGGCTCCCAACATGTGCAAATGAGCCAGTTTGGTTCTTAGATATACTTGAGTATAGTCATTGCCAGCTTGAATTCACTATTTTCACATTTCACAATTGCCAATGTTAACATTTCACTAGAAGAAAATTTTTCCTTTTTTGTAGTTCTAGTAATTTTCTATTTTTTTTTTCCGGTTATAAATGTCGCTGTCCAACTGGCCAGGAATGCATCCCATTGAACCCTATGCTATAATACTGTACTCGCAGTCTGTGATATTTCAACCTGTGATGGGTTTTTCAGGAGCCTAACCCCATCGTAAATAGGGGATACAGTACCTGTACTGTATATCCATCAGTACCTGTTATAGAGTGAGTACCCCTTTCACCATAGGGTGGGTACCCCTTCTGCTATAGGGTGGGTACCCCTCTTCTGCCATAGGGTGGGTACCCCTCTTCTGCCATAGGGTGGGTACCCCTCTTCTGCCATAGGGTGGGTACCCCTCTTCTGCCATAGGGTGGGTACCCCTCTTCTGCCATAGGGTGGGTACCCCTTCCACCATAGGGTGGGTACTCCTTCCACCATAGGGTGGCTACCCCTTCTGCTGTAGGGTGGGTACACCTCTTCTGTCATAGGGTGGGTACCCCTCTTCTGCCATAGGGTTGGTACCCCTCTTCTGCCATAGGGTTGGTACCCCTCTTCTGCCATAGGGTTGGTACCCCTCTTCTGCCATAGGGTGGGTACCCCTTCCGCTATAGGGTGGGTACCCTTTCCGCTATAGGGTGGGTACCCCTTTCATATGAATTGTTTCAATGATTCCGATAGGAATTCCGATCCACCGGGAGTGCCTTCCGACTTTGGACTTCTAGGTGTTTCTGAATAACAACATACGACAATGCTTCCGATTGGTCGGGTTGTTTAGTAACTGTGAATATGCTCACGAGTGCGGCCCAAAAAGCTGGTGCAGAGCGGTGATTGGCTGAGCATGGTCACAAAGGCATAAGTCATATCAGGCTCACAACTAAATGGCGAGTTAATTTTTGTTTTGGTCGTTTGCAATATACTGTACTGTACAGTACCATCAGGTTCACAATATGTTTGGTTACATATTTTGCCTATAACCCACACATTGATATATGTGGGAATAAGATACCTCTGTAAGACTGCTCTCAATCATTTTCATATAACAAATTTGACAAAATTAAGTTTGATTATATTTCTTATACTGTATCTTCTTATAAGGCGAGTCATTTCTATTAGTATTGTCACTTGTTATTTATTGATTACATTTCTTTTACTGTATCTTCTTATAAGGTGAGTCATTTCTATTAGTATTGTCACTTGTTATTTATTGATTACATTTCTTTTACTGTATCTTCTTATAAGGTGAGTCATTTCTATTAGTATTGTCACTTGTTATTTATTGATTACATTTCTTTTACTGTATCTTCTTATAAGGTGAGTCATTTCTATTAGTATTGTCACTTGTTATTTATTGATTATATTTCTTTTACTGTATCTTCTTATAAGGTGAGTCATTTCTATTAGTATTGTCACTTGTTATTTATTGAAGAACGAAATATGAGATCAAGCTTTGACTGTTAAGTTTTGGGCATTTTGTGTTTGAAATTTATTAAAAAGTAAAGCAGGAGAGTTTCGTCATGTGTCGTCATGGGAGCTTGTCATGTTGTTATCTTCACTGGAATGGGATGTGGAGTGAACCTTGTTTTATGAGATTAATACTGTACTGACATGTGTTGCTTTCATTCACCATAGATTGTCATTGCTGAGTGTGCCAGATTCCTATGTTCAGCAGTGTCCTAATTGTTGAATTTTTTTACAGATGTGATGGTTAAATAACTTTTGTTTAATTACCTTATGTCAGGAAATATGACTGTTACTTTGGGAAGACTTTGCATTTAATTTCTACATGTGGCATCTGTGCTCCGGTTGTGTTGCTGTCTAAGGAGAATTGTAATGTTTTCATCTACTTATTGTAAAAATATGTTGCAATCAATGGCATGGGGTAAATGTGTGATTTTTTTGTCTTGTACCTTATAGTGGCCTTGATATCTACTGTGATAATATGGCTGTCAGACTCGGCAAAGGGAGGAATATTGAGTATTTCCATCAATGAGCGACAAAGGCGGGAGGAAGACACTGAGTAAGTTGCTTTAAAATTATACTTGAATAAAATTTGCTTAAATTTGTAGGAGAAAACAAAGTATTATTTATATTTGGTGCATAGTTTAAGTATTAGGAGAGTTTATGGGATGAATTGCTTATAAAAGAAATGAGTATGAAGTGAAATATATAAACCAGGTATAGTCATTTGTATTACATGTGTAGAGTATGTAGCACAAGATATGGTAAGTGAAAGGTCTATATTAGTATGATTGAAGACATGAGTAGAATAGGAAAACTGAGTACAGTAATGTAGCAGAAGGACAACGTGAGTAAATACATTAGACAGAAGCTTGAGAGCTGCTGCCAGGGTCACTGTAAGTCATGGATCACAAAAGTATTTTATAGGTAAAAGTTTTTTTTTGAAGTTAATGTGGAAGTTTTTATTTTGAACTTTGTTCACAAGGAGCTTTAAATTAAATTATTGCATGTTGGTTCATGGATTCTCTGCACACCATGTACAGTCCCCCAAAAAAGTATAATTAGATTTTGTCACTACAATTAGAAATGCCAGATGAAATGCTTTGATATGATCCCCAGTGCATCATCATAAGTTGTTGTGCTTGCTTGCCATATCAGCAACAGCTAAAGATGGGAGTAGGATTAGGGGAAGGGGTCATCCTTGTATGGCATACTAAATACTTCAATATAACAAGAAATCCATTAAGCTATATTAATGTATGTGTCGTGCTAGGTAGAAACAAGGCATAAGTAAACAAGGCAATGACTGATGATTACAATAACACTGAAATATACATTAAATGGAAGTGTTTTGGAACTTCATAAATGAGACTGAGACAGACCTCAAAGCTGGGCATGTTTTATTTACTAAGATTTACTAAGCAAATAGTACAGTAATTGATATTAGAGTAAACAGTTACAACAATATACAATATTTCGGTTTTACATGGGATCTGCCATGTTACTGATGAGTAAATTGCATTGGTTTAACACCAAAATAAAGTTTCAAATCAAGGTCTCTTGCAGGCAACGGAACCCCCATCCACCTATAGTAAGACATTTGTGGATATAAGTTTCAGTGTGGCACCAGTTGTTTCATGGTGTCTAACCCATCATGATACTGTGGGTACGCTCACCCCAGTTCGCCGTGCTACCTCAGTGTTGCATATACCCTTGTTATGAAGGGCAATGATAGCACCTCTCACATCTTGTGATGTCTCCCCAATAATTCCTTACTCCATTTGATGTAAGATCCTGTTGATGACTGGCATGACATTGGTATCCATTTATGACATCCACTGTAAGTCATGTTATATATAATCTAAAGCCTCAGGGGATTCATATTCGACAGCGTATATACTCCTTCATCCTCAAAGGTCGTGGATGTAGAACTATCAACCGTTCAGAAACAGGTCGAGTGACATTGTTTGGAAAGCCTTGAATCACATCGACCCCATGGCTAACAATATTTTTTGGGGGACTGTACATAGGAATGGAATCAGGTCAGGAATAATTAGACTAAATAGACAAAAATTTATTTCAGGGACAAAGGGTAGTGCCTAGTTCAAGAATGTATAGAAAGGGAGAGTGTAAACCCTTTACTTTTCTCAACGGTATTAAATGCTGAAAAGAATTTTCATGATTATCGTCTATTTTCCCATTTGTGACCTTGGGTCATCAGCAAGTAACCTGTAAGATCCATACTGCTAAACACCCTCTGACAGATTCCACCTTTCCTCCAGAAGGCAAATGATGTATATAACAACAGCAGTACTATGTGAACATAAACTTCCAGAAAATGCTTCTCACCCAGATGATGACTGGTTGAATTGATACCATATGAACCAGTGGTTGACAAGTGTCTCAGTGAGGTCATGGGATGATCCCCCCAATCAGTGGCTCATACACTTTGAACCACTTCAGTCATAAGGAAAAGTTGATTCACAAATCCTCTCCATTTCCACAGCTTCTCCAAACTTAAAACACTTCACTCCTGCAGTAAGCAAGGTTATCTGGATTTCAGTGTCTTGTGAATTCCTAGTTAGATCAATGTTAAGACTACATACATAATTTTTTTAATATGTCCTTTTGATTTGGAAACCTCCACACAGTCATTTTTAATAACCTTAAAATGTAGTACAGTAACCAACTACCTTAGTGATCTGGCACAACTAGGAGCCCAGGACATAACCCACTTCTTCAATTTCTGGGTTTTCTTCTTAACTTTGTTGACTGCCACATGGTTTATGTGTAGGGATCCCCTCTTTTTCCTAGAGGCACTGGGTTTGGACTTGGGTATATATTTGTTGATCAAATTGATCACTTTACTAGTTAAGATATTCAGCATAGTGTCTGCATTCTTGTGCATTAGTGAGTCAGGCCAGTGGATACCCCTCATATCTTCCCTCATCCCGTCGTAATTTCCCTTGTAATATTTGCACCTTGGCCTGGCTTTATCATGAACTAGGTAACAGTTAAATCTGAATGACAGAACTACATGGTGACTGGTGCCAACTGCGGCTAGATGTTCCAGTTTGGCCACCACACGCTCTTCGTTTGTTATGATGAGGTCTAGTGGCTTGGGTGTTTGCTCCCCTCTGTAATGTGTCAAGTCTTTAACATGTTGGAACAGAAAATTATCTCTCAGAGCTTCTGCAAAAAGAGTCGATGTCGCCATAGTTAAAGTCCCCCATGATAAGGAGGTGGCTAGGGTTGAGCGTCTCTGCATTGTCTATTAAGGCTCTTAAGTTCCTTTGATTTAGTAAGCTTCAGTTTGGGGATCTGTAGATTTACCCGACAATAAGTAAGTCCCCTCCCTTTAATTTAATTTTACACTACTTGGACTCTTCAAAAACATCCTCTCCCATACCCTCGCTTGGCTGGCTCTAAGGTCTAAGGTCTTGCCTAGCATAGATAACCACCCCCCTCTTGCAAGTTTCTTGAGAAAGGTTCGTAAATGAGTCATATCCAGCAATTCTGAACTCGCATTCCTCTGGGTTGATTCTCCTGTTCTTGTACAACAGTCTTACAAGTCCTATAATATCGGGTTGTGTACCTTCAGTAGTGTTTCAAACTCTCTCTTATCAAGGAATGTGTCAGTATTAGTGTACAGTAAGATCTTGTATTTTGCGAGTAATATAGACTGGAAAATTGCGCCAAATTCAAATTCGCCAAATGCAAATACATAAACTAATGGGTAAAATAATAATATAGACTGGCTGCTCTACATCAACCTCTGATTTTCCCATTTATAACCTCCAAATGATACAAGTTCTGCCTTTATTGACCTGATTGTGCTTTCCGGAAACTAGTTTTTAGGCCTTCCTCAAGTAACTTAATCACACGCTGCTTATCCTGCATCGAGTACTAGGCAAACTTAACTCCCTTATGATAGTCTCGCTTCTCCTTTTCCTTATTTGGCTGCTTAGGTGGGTCTGTCCCATCCCCACCAGCACCAGTAGGACCCCCAGTAGAGGTAGAGGCCATTATCTTGACTCGACAGGTGGTAGCACCACCCAAAAAAAAAAGCGCACAATAGCAGCCCGGGCGGTTGCTATAGGATGGCGCAGGCTACAACGCGATAGTTGCATTCTTGTAAACCTTTTTTATGTTCACCACCGGCAATTCGATCACCAGAACGCTTCTTGGAAACATTCTTCTTACCTTGTCTTTCCATATTCATCACTTACACAACAAAATTGGAGAAAACAGCAAAAATCAAAGAGTAATCGACAGAAACTGCGCGATTCAACTGATCACGTGATGTAAATAGAGAGCGTTGGTGTAAACCGTTATTAGTCCTCACTGTGAAACATTCTTTTTACTTATTCTTTTCATGCAGTATTTCTGGGTAACAGCTAAATTTGCAAAAAAATTACAAAATTTACAGAGTACCTCTCATGTGGTAAATTTAATTTAGTTTTTTCTAAGTTACATTGGAGCATTGAAATTATATTCACATTATATTTGCTTTATCTCCAGTGTAAATTAGAGCAGTGAAATGATACTTTCACAACTTTTATGGATTCTTGTGTAAACAAACACTGCAGTAGTCGACTCTTGGCTGCGAATTATGAAGATTTGACTGCAAAATTTAAAAAGATAGGTAATAATAGAGGAATCCACAGATTTGTATTTTGTAAATAATTAAGACTACTGTACAAATTCTCTCATTAATGTGAATGGAGCATTAAGAAAGAGGATGTTTTATCCTTCCTGGTTCTTTAATTTTAAGACTTACAGTGAAGCTCAGAAAGTACTGTACAGTACAGTAGTTGTCTCCGAGTTCAGTTTAAGTTAAAGTTTTTCTCTGGATAGTTGGATTTACTACAAGACTTTTTCACCGTTTAATTGTACAATAATTATGGAAACCTGTAATTATTTGTTACATAAAATGCCTATTGATCTGTAGGAAAACTGGCGGTGTGTTCTTCTAAGGCTTTAAATTTCAGCAAGATAGTTTTTCTTTGAGCATTTTCCCCTTTTGGTGGAGTTGATCCTTCGGAGGTCGTGTTAGAAATATTGTACATCAAGATTTATCACCTAGGTTTAAAGCGGGGGTTCCCAAACCTGGGGTCGGAAGGCTCATCAGGTAGGGTCGCAAAGAGGTCATGGGGTCGGTGGGGTCGCTGGGGTCCTTTGGATCTGCCAGTGAAATGATTTGGGGTCTCACTGGATAGTTGACAACACTGGATGGGGTCTTGCTAGAAAAAGCTCTGGAACCCTTGGTTTAAAGGGTTATCCAGTACTGAGAAGAAGACATAGTCTGGCATAACCCACCAGTAGTTATGTCATGCCCTCTGGTGAAAGATAGACTCAACCAGAGGATGTTAGTATAGCTAGTATGGACCTCACAGTTTGCTTGCATCTTATCCTCTGTCATAAAATGGGATTTTGTACATTAATCCTTCATTCCCTTGTTTTTTACAGACATTTGCTGGAGACATAGGTGTGAAGTACTTAAGCAGCAGGTACAGCATTGTCTAAAAATAGTTATCAATGTAAGTACAGTGTTACTAGGGATGCCCAACCAAAGTTTTAAGATTTTGATATTTAATCATTATCTATCAAGTTCCTGAGTTTAATGTATCGTGTGAAATGCAAATAATTTTAATTTCAGGTTGAAATAACCTGCATCAATTCAGACAACAAGAGAAGACTCGACTATTGTGAAACATATGTAATATTATACTGAAATGTTGTGGTTACTCATTTTAATAAGTATTTTGCCCTTTGTAAAACTTCATTATTTATCTCAGATTCATTATTAATGTGTATTTGTACAGTACATAGTACTTTGTTATGATTGCAGTATAAGGTAATTTAAGTATACTGTCTAAGATACTTTATTTTTTTTTAAATTCTATAACTAAATGCAATATATGTCTGTGTTAATGATATATTTTGATTATGAACAGAATAAAAATCCCTGGATATAATGCACTGATATGTAAAATTAAGTGTGATACTGAAGGTGACACATAAGAAAATAGATCTCTCATCATGGCCAACCCTTCCTATGGCCCCAAAATAAGCTGATGTGACATACACAAGTGAAAACTGTCTGGTAGCAATGGTATGTTAAGAGACTGTCATATATGAGCATAATATAATACCTCTTTGTGAGTGTTTACTGTAGTTGCTGTACTTAAAAAAATCAATTTATGTACAGTAACGGCCACTGTATGGTCTGAAGATGGAGTTAAACTTAGCATCCGTCAGTTTCAGTAATATATAATACTGTACCGTTGTACCCCGCTTTACGCGGTTTCACTTAACGCGATTTCTCATATACGCGGTGCCTCGCCAGAACCGAACTTTCACTTAACGCGGTTCATCTACTCATATACGCTGTGAAGTATAATTTTTTTTTTTTTTTTTAGCTCATAAAATTCATACAAATTACCCGGCCAGAATATAATTTACATTGCTGGAATTCTTACAATTTCATGATCATTTTGAATATAAACATCATAGATTTTGCATTAGACATACAAATTTTAGATGTAATGTTTACTCTGAGTAAATATGTTATCTTTTGTGCAAAATATATGACATTTATATTCAAAATATTCCTAGTCTTACAAGGAATCCAGCAATGTCAATTATATTATCCTAACTTTAGTTTGAGGTATTATTTATTGAAATCTAGTGGTTTTCCCCCCAAAATTTCTCAGAGAGGGAAGAGCCAGCAGTGTAGTGTGAGAAGAGGGGGAGGGAGTTGAGTCCATTATTTGAATGGACATTAACTTGGCGACTGTATTTCTCTATTTCTCTTAAGTATTAATTGTGTGCATGTACCATCATAAAATTAAGATGTTATTTTTACTAGAACATAGGTATTGTGTCGGAAAAAGTAGAGTTTGGGGGTCGGGCCAGTCTCTATTGGAATTAATCCCATATGTTCTGTTGTTCACTTAACGCGGTACCCTGTGGGTTCAATTGACCGCGTAAAGCGGGGTACAACTGTACTGTTCTCTTAAGTGGCCAACAGATACATGGATAGGTACAACAATCACCAGCATAGAAGATAACAAATATAGTCACAAGACCTCAACCATCTTAGTTATGACCACACCACTACATCTTTAACCATATGTCTGGTATGGGTGAAGTACTGCAGGAATTACTAAGGAAAAGCATGAAGTCTAAAAGCCAGTCATTTAAGAATAAGTGTAAAGCACTCACTTACTCTTAATAATTTCATGTTACTTATTAATGCCATTTATTTCACTATTGAATCCTGAGGTCATTACATTAACATGGCAGTAGAGTACAGTATATCTTAGTTTTTAGATTGGTAATTGTATCATACAGTAGAAGTCCAAAAATCCGGACTGCTTGGGGATTGGGTCGGTCCGGATTTTCGGATTTTCCGGATTCTCAGGCAGTACTTTTAAAATTCAAATTTCAGGAGAAATAAAGAAGAGATGAACAGGTACATTTTGATAGTTTATTCATTAGCAAATATAGCATGCTTCATTTATCAAAACAAGCAGTTTTAAAGATAAAGCTATGAATTCTAAAATTTTATTCTTTGCCTTTTTTATATCATAAATTGTAGACTTTCCAATGTCGTATGTTTCCATTAGAACAGTATTGCTCACACCACGTTCTAGTTTCTTAATTATTTCAAGTTTGTCACTCAATTTCAACGTGTTCTTTTTTCTCTTCACACAACGAAGTTTATCTACTTTAGGAGCCATTATTATGGGCTTGTACAGTACTCTGTAAATGGAAAGAGTAGGACTCAAAATTACATACGTTGTCACAGTTTGATTGCTCGTTTTAAAGTGGTGACCGCGTGGTCGCTTGTTGTCGCTGTGCAGCTGTGGCGCTCACGCATGCACACATACACACAAAAGCCAGCTAAAAAAAAAAAATAGAGTTTGAGTTTTCAAAAAGTCCGGATTCTCGGGTGGTCCGGATTTCTGGCATCCGGATTTTTGGACTTTTACTGTAGTAGTTATGGTAAGGGAAGATATGAGGACGGTAGAGGGTGCAGCAGTATAAAAATGAATCTACTCAGTCTGGAATTTGGGAAAGTGAACTTTTAGGAAACTTCTTGGATCAAGTTAGACATTATATCCTGATTTCTCTGTAGAAATATATTGTGATTTTCATTTAAATCATAAAAGGACCCAGTTACTGCACATATCCAGGGATAACATTTTATGATTTAAGTTATTACAAGATATACAGTACTGTATATGGCTCTTGTTGAAATATTAGTTGTCATATTTTGTAAAGTATAAATTTAAAGGTTGTGTTCTATCCTATAGTAAGTACAGTACTGTAATTTAAAGGCTCCTTAGTTCTGGTGGCAACCCTATAGAATTCCATCCCAGTGTTGAGCCAGGTCTGGGTTGATAGGTCATTATTTTTATTGTTGTGTGAGCTGAACTGGTTATCAGCCACATCAGTACTTTGGGCAAAGCCAACCCTTTTGGTGCCCTGGGATTGCCACCCTCTGACTTTTAGGGAAGGGCTTTTTTATGCACCAGCCTGTGGTGGTGATGCTTTAAATATTTTGTGTGAGGACTTTGAGACATATCAGCATTTATGCTTGGCTAGATAATAGCATTTTAGGATCAATTTCCTTTTTGGTAAAGATTGTAAACTACTTTGCTTAATATATCCTACCCTAAAAATAATTGTATTGTCAAAGGGAACACATTATACTACAGTAAGGTTTTGCTTAACAAGTAAAATGCATTTCTGAAAAGTGCTTGTTAGGTGAATTCTCATAGAACAAAACCCATTTTTCCATAAGATCCCATGTTCAAGGCATAATGTACCAGCTTAAAAACTTTTGTCCCAGAACCCCATGGTATAAAGTTAGATGCACTCCAGCCCAAAGAATTTCTATCCAGCGACCGGTCACTGGTGTGCGGTATATGCACATGAATGCCACTGCAAATGGTAAAACGGTATTTCGTCCATGGTGCTGGGAGTAGCAGCCGCAATGACAAGAACCTGTCATAAACCATGTTTGCTTACTTACTTATGGCAGTCCATCGAAGTCGATGACGACGTTGCTCCAGATGAGATGATTGATGAGTGATGTGTTATTCCTCTAATGCCACCGTAGATGACTATGGAGTCCAATCCTGGAGATGCAGATCTTGTTGCATAGGTGACAGGGATGTTGCTCATTGAGAGGAATTATGTCTTGAGCCCTCTGATGTCGTTGGGCTTGTTTAGTAGCTCTCTTTTGGTTCAGTGAGTTCTCAAGTGTTTCCGCTCCTCTATGGCATGTTGAGCGCCATAAGGAACAATCTGAGGCTAGTTGCTCCAGTGAATTTGGTTGTACAGCTACTCCTCGACTTACGACCTACTCGACTTACGACCACTCAGACATACGATCGTCTCAGTCATACCAAAATTATGTCAAATTACGTATTTTCGAGTCCCGACATTAGTGATTGCACTGTGTACTGACAAAATTTTCGTTTGTAATTCACTTTAAAATCGTTGGCAAGCTTAAAAGTGAGAGTTTTGTGGTACTGAGAAGAAAAAGAGACACCCATTTTAGATTTCTATGTATTATTTAAGCATTTTCGATTTACGACCTGGATTTGGGTCCCTAACCCCGTCGTAAGTCAAGGAGCAGCTGTATACTACAGCACTTGAGAAGAGTTTTAGAGTGGTCCTTGTATCTCTTATTTTGTTCTCTCGCCAAGCGGTTTCCATGTGAGAGCTTGCCATATAATATTTGTCTTGGAAGCCGTTGGTCTAGCATCCTAATAACACGTCCAAGCCAGCGCAAGTGTCTTTTGGCTAGCATGGTTTCAATGCTGGTCGTGTTTGAGCGACGATATAGTTCTTCATGAGTCACTCTATATTCCTAGGATATTACAAAGATATGCTTAAGGCATCTAGTGTGGAAGTTTTCCAGCATTTGGATATGGCGTCTGAAGGGCCTCCAGGTTTCTGAGGCATATAATAATGTAGATATACAGATCGCTAGATAAATTGCCGTCTTTGTTCCATATTTGAGGTCATTGTTGAGAAAGACTCGTGTTCTCAAACGTCCAAATGCAGCTGAGGCTAAATTGATTCTGGTTTGAATTTCCATATCCAGTGAGCAGGTGGGTGTGAGAATGCTACCAAGGTACTTAAACTGGTTTACTATTTTGATAGGATCTCCATTAATGTAGAATTGTGGTGCTTCTATTGGTGGAACAATGGGCTGGACAAAATCTCAGTCTTCTGGGTGTTAATTTGCAAACCAAGTGAGCTGTGAATACCTGAGATCACGTCCAGTGCTCGTTGCATAGATTCTCTGTTATGTCATTATTGCATAGCCATCTGCATACTGTAGTTCTATGACCTGAGTTGTTAAGGTTTTTGTGTAGGCCTCCAGACGTCTAATATTAAAAAGGCTACCTTCAAGACGGTACCGTATGCCCACACCACCATCAGGCCCAGGGGCATTGTGTGAGAGTTGTGCTACAGCCAGCAAAAAGATGTTAAACAACACAGGTGCTAGCACACAGCCCTGTTTTATGCCCATTTGGACACTAAATGGTTCTGACTGCACACCACCCACAAGTACCCGGGCCTGCATTCCATCATGCATCTGGTGGAGGATGTTAAAAAATCTTGGTGGTACACCGACCCTCTCCAACATAGTCCACAAAAGTTCTCTGTTTACTGTGTCGAAAGCCTTGGAGAGGTCAATTAAGGCGGTGTAAAGGTCTGTATTTTGCTCTTGACTCTTTTCTTGAATTTGCCTAGCTGTGAAGATCATGTCTATTGTACTGCGATCCTTCCTGAATCCACATTGGGATTTAAGAAGAGTGTTCTCCGTTTGGTGTTATCTTGCCAGCAACTATAAGGAGGGAGATAGTACAGTACAGTACTGTACTTAGAGGATCTCAAATGCAGTTCTCTGCTTTCAGTGTTAAAAGTGGCACAGGAAGTAGAGTGGTTGACAGACCTTTTTTAATTTAATTTAGTAACTTTTACTTTACTAGTAAATTTGTTATACACAGTCATATTTATACTCATCATTCCACTTATGTCATTATTTTTCACATGTACAAGAGTGTTTCAAAAATAATTCTTCATGTGGCTTAATGTTCGGTGAGGGAGGAGTTCACAGAATATAATGGATAAGTTTCTTTTAGATCAGCCTGCAGAAAAAATAGGCAGACTTGAATAGAAAAGTAAATGTCAGCTGTTGAGATGAATAGGATTATTTAACTATCATGTTTGCATGAACACATTTTTAAAAGTTCTGATCAGTTTAGTCATTGCTACTTTCCCATGATGTCTCGCCCAATTGTAAGTCAAAAGTGATCATACATTAATCATAAAATTGAAGTAAAGTGACAGGTCGCCCATTATAATATCTTCCTTTGAGTTGAAGGCTCTTTCGCAAAAAATACATTTGTACTTGTGTTGAATTTAAGTTGTTCAGAAGTAATTATAACGTGCCTCCTTAATGTAAGAATTGAAACATAATTTTTCCCCCCTCTAAGATTTTTATCAAGCTAATACGCTTTTATCTGTACCCAGTTGTCTCACCTGACTTAGCTGATCCAAAATTGAATCGTGGAGCCATGACCTTCCATAAATCTTAATTTAACGTCTTTTTTTTTTTTTTACTCACATTTCTTGTGGTTGAACCGTGATGCATACTCCCCATTCTATCAGTATGCTTTATGTTTGTACATAGATGCAGAAAGTTTTTACATAGATCCTTAGGAGGAATATATCCCAATTCAAATGAAGGTCATGTCAGGTGCCTGGGTAATATGGAAAAATTTTATAGAAAACTTTTATTATTACCCCAGATTCATGTGTGTTTAAAATGGCTAGGTGTTATGGAGAACTAAAGAGTAATATCTCCGTTAGCCAAAACCCTTCTTAACTGAACTCTCTGATAACCGGAATTGAAATTTTCTCGGAAAATTGTTCCCAAAGCCAAAATTTTCCGGAAAATTCTGGCTTTGTGAATGATTTTCCAAGGGGCACATTTTCTGAAAAATTCTGAGAAAAATTTCCCAGTACCCTGAAAATTCCAGGAATGGGGATTTTTTTTTTCCGGGTTTGAGAGATGAAAATCAGGAGCATTTTCCAGAAATTCCGAGAATTTTCTTTTCCGTAACCGGATAATTCCGGGGATGGGGGATTTTTTCCAGCTTTGAGAGAGTTGTCTCATTGCCAAGAAATCTCTCATTTCCTGTATACATATATATTGATGTTATTCAATTTCATGCAATTCCTACTTGTCATTGTTTCATATTATTTAATATCTTCTTGGTAACACATTAGTGAACCACAGTACAGTATTATCCAAGTTAGAGTTTATTAAGCCTGTGGCATTTTGTGTTCCTTTACCATCTGGGTTATTCATGCTTGATGAAAATACTTTACAGTAATTATTTGTGAATATTATCTACTTATTTTTATTCAGTTTATCTGTCTATTCTTATCTTCCAGTCTTATTTTTTCCTTTCCTTGGAATTAGATAAAAAATACCTAAAAAAAAAAAGTTCCAAGTTTGTAATGGTAATCAGTAAGGTAGCAAGTAAAAGAAGGTTTATAGGATATATATATATATATATATATATATATATATATATATATATATATATATATATATATATATATATATATATATATATATATATATATATATATATATATATATATATCCTATAAACCTTCTTTTACTTGCTACCTTACTGATTACCATTACAAACTTGGAACTTTCACTTTACGCGTTTCTACATTTACCCGGTACCCTGCCAGAACCGGAATTCCCACTTTACACGGTGCATCTACTTATATACGCGGGTGAAGTATAATTTTTTTTATTTAGCTCATAAAATTCATACAAATTATCTGGCCAGAATATAATTTACATTGCTGGAATTCTTACAATTTGATGATCATTTTGAATATAAGCATCATAGATTTTGCATTAGACATAAAAATTTTAGATCTACTTTAAGTATTTTGTTTACTCTGAGTAAATATGTTATCTTTTGTGCAAAATATATGATATTTATATTCAAAATATTCCAGGTCTTACAAGGAATCCAGCAATGTCAATTATATTATCCTAACTTTAGTCTGAGGTATTATTTATTACTGAAAAGGTAAATATTCTGGTTTCTCCCACACTTTTCTCTGGTAGGGAGGGTTGGTGGGGGTGAGGGAGGGACCGACCGACCATCTGGCGAGGTTGGAAGAGGGGGGGAGGCAAGGTGGGGTACTTTGATTGACAGATAGTGTTGTGAAGAATATTTCTTTTTTTTTATTAACTGAAGATATTTGTTTTAGCTCATAAAATTCATACAAATTACCCGGCCAGAATGTAATTTACATTGCTGGAATTCTTACAATTTGATGATCATTTTGAATATAAACATCATAGATTTTGCATTAGACATACAAATTTAAAATCTACTTTAAGTATTTTGTTTACTCTGAGTAAATATGTTATCTTTTGTGCAAAATATATGACATTTATATTAAAAATATTCCTGGTCTTACAAGGAATCCAGCAATGTCAATTATATTATCCTAACTTTAGTTTGAGGTATTATTTATTACTATACCTTAAAATCTAGTGGTTTTCCACCAAACCTTTCTCAGAGAGGGAAGAGCCAGGAGTGTGAGAAGAGGGGGAGGGAGTTGAGTCCATTATTTGAATGGACATTAACTTGGCGACTGTATTTCTCTATTTCTCTTAAGTATTAATTGTGTGCATGTACCATCATAAAATTAAGATGTTATTTTTACTAGAACATAGGTATTGTGTCGGAAAAAGTGGAGTTTGGGGGTCAGCTGGTCTCTATTTCATTTAATCCCATATGTTATGTTGTTCGCTTTACGCGGGCCTCCTTGGGTTCAATTGACCGCGTAAAGTGAGGGTTCAATGTGTATCCGACTTACGACAGGGTTAGGGACCCAAATCCAAGTCGAAATGGTCGTAAGTCGAAAATGCTTAAATAATACATAGAAAATCTAAAATGGGTCTCTTTTTCTTCTCAGTACCACAAAACTCTCACTTTTAAGCTTGCCAGCCATTTTAAAGTGAATTCAAATGAAAATTTTCTGTGTACTGACGTTGGGACTCGAAAATACGTAATTTGACAAAATTTTGGTACGAATGAGGCAGGTCGTAAGTGCGAGTGGTCGTAAGTCGAGTAAAATAAAAATTGGTAATATTTGTATGTGATGGTGAACAGTATTAATTTTCCTGGTTACTAGTGTGGGTCCTTATTGATAGATACTGTATTGAATTGTATATCTTAACTTTGTTTTGCAGTTGTTTAGTGTTCTGCATTTTATATTTTATATGAGATATGGTATGAGGGACCATATGAACTTCCACTACAGTATTAGTCTGTAAATTGTAATGTAAGAATATTTATGGTTTTGTACTCAGTAACATTCAATTATATTGCAATTTGATATGATTTTATATATACAGTGCTGTATATATACTGTATATACATTTGTAATAATAATAATAATAAACGGTTTATTAATAGAGTTGCAGTCTGTGGCTGAAAATATACACTTACATTTGATTTAGACATAATGATATGTATGCATGTGTGTGTGCGTGCATGTATGCGTGCGTGCAGGGTGACCTATGCTGTAACGGTTGGCATGCTCACCTAGCAAGCAGTTGGTTTAGGGTTTGATCCCTAGGCTGGGTGAAGCTATGGGGAAGTTTCTTTAAGCCAGTTGCCTCTGTTTAGCTGGTAGTACAATAATTGAGAACATTTGAGGGTAGTGTTTCAGGGTACTGTACTGTAATGGTTAGCCAGTGCTGATGGTGAGCTCTCTGGCCTACTTGCATTATTCCTTGACACTGGGCCATTCAGTTAATTAACTTAGTAGGTTGAGGCTGTTGTGTTGGCAATTGCTCCTACAACTTTGACCAGTTCATGCCTAGGTGGTCCTAGGACCAGTAAGCCTCATATATATGTGAATGTGAGACTAAACACAATCACAAAATACACCAATACAATGGATGGGTTCATAGAAGTACTGAACGAGAATGGAGTAAGTCAAACAAAAGAAATGTCTTCATTCCTTTAAATACCCTTTATTTTCATTGCTACAACACAATAAAATAATAACAAGTGGTGAAAGAATAAATACTGCCAAATTAAACAACTTACAGTATTTATCTAATAATTACTGGCCATATCAAATATTTACAAATAAACTTCATAAATAGACTACTTCAAGTGGACTTGTAAACAAAATTGAGATTCCACCTACAGTAATGGACACCCTACATGACAGCATAAGTATGCAAGTAATATTCATTGAACATTTAACCACATGTGAACTGGTTGTCACTTAACATGTTTCAGCTGCTAATCCATTAAATGCTATATACTGTACTCCCATTTAACATTTTACAGATTTATGCATTACATGCCTTGATTTGAAAAGCATGAGTTACTACTTTAATCACATGAATTATCACATTAATTTTGTCAATCATGCTAATAATCCACAACAATATAAGTGTGAATTGAAGTATTTCACCTGCAGGAGGTACACTGAATTACTTCAGTTTCTTAGGCAAGCTGTTTTTGTAAATGGCGAGTTTCTAATGAAATGATAATTCTACACATTCCCCATAAATGTAATAAATAACTAATGTGTAACAAGCCATATATATATATATATATATATATATATATATATATGAATAATGTTGAGAAAAATAAATTATATATTCCCTTTAAAAATCTACATCCTGGCAGTGGTTCTGTTACTCCACAAAACATTCCCTTTTGAGCTGTGCCATCAACAAATGTTTAATAAACCTAAAGGAATACATGGATTTGCCTTCTAAACTTTTACTGGCAAGTTTATTACAATTCACCAAGTAAAGAACTGCAGCAGTTGCACCTTAATAGTACAAACCACAACAGTCACACCTTAAGGCAGAGTGCTATTCAACACACACTTCCAAGATTATGGAGACTTTACATGCAGACACTTAAGAGCTTACAACAAAATATGTCAAAGAGCCTCATATTGCAGCTATTGAGAAGGAAGAGACTTTTTCTGGCAAACAATTATCAAACACTCTAAATCCTACTTTTACCTCTTAAAGAAAAAGCAGTCATAAAGCTTACCCAATTAATGATCAGTATAATGTGTTTCTTGGTCCATTTAAAGAAATTATGTGATTTTTTTTAAAGTAACCAGCTACTGTCATGTCAAAGTAAAACGTCTGCAATGAGAGGCTCATACTACTCAACGGACAAAATTCCACAATGTTAATAGACTACTTTTTGATTTGTCGTTGATATTCTTACATTTAATGCATCAGTAAAGCAAACTATGGATGCACTGCATCTACAGCTATGTCACTAAAACACTCAAGTGTGCAGCATTTGTTTTTGCATATCAAGGTACAAAGCTAACACTCAGTTTAAGTTTGAGGCAGCAATGAATTTTAATGCTCTGATCTCAAATTACTGTATTGCTAAAACCTCATCTTAGCCTTCCGTCTAGAACTCTAGATTCTTAAACTACTTCCATGAGATTCCTTTTTTAACAAAGTGAAACCACAATGGCCTGACCACACATACAAGACATGTTTGCTACACACAAAGCATAAACTAGGTCCCGTGTAATCAATGCTTGCACGAACACAGATATGTGACTAGGATTTTACATAAACCACATGCAGAACACTGCACATGATAAATTATCTACCCTACAAGTTGCATTCAAATGATGCCTCAGAACATAATAAATTTTCTATACAAAGTACTGTACATACAAATTACAACAACTAACCCAGTATACAGGTACCTAGCCAGTGATAATTGTTATCCTAAATAGATATGAGTATTTTATTTGTCTATCTTGATTGTTTATGTTCTTTGGATTATTCAATTTACTTATATTAAATAATGAAATGTTAATTTTCGATTTCCCCAAGTATAGCATAAAAGAAACTTTATTTAGTTGTCTGATAAGTGAAAATACCAATCAAAACATAATTTAGGGCAATGGAACCAACTGTATAATACATATGTTTTTCATAAATTACCAATTAGATCCATTCTTTCAACAAACATTTTACATTCACATATTGACCAGACTGTAAACTTCTATAATTTTAACTTCAAAGTCTCCATTTGGCACAAGAGGAGGATTTTCAAATGTCTGGCAAGTTTCTGTCTTGCCGTAACGGAAGTCATGATCCAGCATGATCCCCTGACCATTTCTGTGTGAAGAAAGAAAAAAAAATACTGGGTAAGAAGCATTCTATGTAGCCATAGTACAGGTACAACACATAATTAAATTTGTATTATTTCTGAACATCTTACTTGACAGCCAGTAAATACCGAAGAAAAAAAACTTACCCTCCTCCAATAGTGATCATGTTACTGTCGGCATGCATGAAAAGCTCTTGTGAGTGTTCCACTGATGAAAGTTCTGCATTATCTTGTTGCTTGGATATCCCAATCCACTGATATTTGGCAACTGTTGGTCGAAGAGTGAACAAGAATGTTTCACCGGTGCCAAAATATGTCTGCCAGTTACCAAACTCATCCTTATGGTGCCGCTGGGCCCAAGCAGTAGAACAATATGCTCCAAAAACATAATCATCCAAGGTGCGAATGCAGAGAAGGGTTGGTTCGTGCTTCTCTACACGCTGTTGGGAAAAATAAATAAATAAAAAAATACAATTTAAAAGATGCAAATGATTGGCTGTGTCAATTGAGAACCTGAGCTCTCTTGAAGAAGGGTGATTGCCTCTATCCACAGAAACTTCAACTCGTGGAAGATTTTTATGAGACCAATTAAAATTTTTTGTGTAAACAGATTTTTGGCAATTAATATAATCCCCCCCCACCCCCCCAAAAAAAATATGAACAACTTGTATACACATTTAGAACTAACATCAGAAATATAAATACAAATATAGTTGTAGGCATGGGTGTCTGCTTGGGGGGAGGGGGAGTTGCTCGTGTCAAGGGAAAATGGTGTTTAGTTGGGTCAAGGGATTAATGTGGTCATTTTTCTGAGGTCCGAGAAGGTTAGGTCAGTTACTTTAGGTAACTGAGGTTAAGACTCTCTTGACTCTAGGCTCGGCGGTTTGACAACACCGGTAATATTAGATCAGGTCATAGAAAGCAGACAATTCACCCAGCTACTTCAGTTTTGTATGAGACACTACTGTGACACTGACCACTTCTGATTTGGAATCAGTCATTTACTCCATGGGAATATATGAGGTTATAAGGTAAGAAAAGTTTGGTACAGTAATTGTTTAAAATATATTGACATGATTTTGCTGAGGTACCATAATTTTAAACTAAGACAGTGCACTGTTATCTTGGTGTACTGTAATTTTAAATCATTGTCATTTTACTATGCCGCCAATGTCGTGGTACAGTACCATGATTATAGATCGTCAAAATTACCAGCAGAGCTAACCCTTCCCAGACAGTGTGGTGGGCAGAAACACCATTCAAATGTCAATGGCTCAACCATAGAACGAAAATTTTTGTAGATCAGTCTATGTACAGTACTGTACCATATTTGGAGGTCATCATATATTCATAAGAAAGCAGATTTGCAGCTGAAACTAGGTAAAATTTTTACCTGTATTCACTTCACTTACTACAAATGGCAAAATTTACAAAAGAAGAATTCAAGGACCAGATTTCGAAGATCATTAAATCGAAAACATAGGTAAATCAGCCACCTGGTTTGAAATTTGGTCTCAAAACAAGAACTAAGATGATGGACTTAAGGATTGGCTCAAACACACTTTTGTTTCTTTCTGTTACACTCAATTATTATTGCTCTGATATTACCAGTGACAACATGCACAGTGGGAGAGATCATTCAGTAACAGCTTATGATATATTTTTATTTTGGGCTATTATACTTGATGTAAATTTTGGTTGGTAATGGGTGGTGTTAATCTGTGATTGTCTACCAAGCAAAGATATTTATAATTATTGTAACAATAAATGATATTGTAATATAACTGTTTCATGTAAGCTCATCTTAACAAATTCAGTATAGTATGTGACTGCTAAAACCTAAGAAAATAAAACTCACTAAAATATTAAGCCTGGAAAACAATACTGTAGGAGCTAGCCTATCACCTTTCTGAAGTGGAGGGCAACATCCCCTCACACCAAGAACTTTCCAGGACAAAAACCCTATTAGCCAAAAGCATAAACTAACCTTGAGAAATATAAGATATAAAAATTAATTTTGTCCAACTACAGGGTATGCACTTTAACTGAGGGACTTGTGTCCATCAAGCCCCCCGAAAAGTTCCAGCAGATGCCCATGGGTGTAGGTTATGAGTACATGTACAGTAATCCCCATGCTGTGGCAGTAATAGCTTGCATCTCAATCTAGAGATGACTAGAAATATATTCAAAGCTTACATACATTACTGTAGCAAAATAATCATTAAACACTAACCTGGAAGAAAGTCGTTAGGGAGCAGCCGTGTTCTTCTGTTGTGTACACTAAAGTTGGCTGATGCATCGTCATCCTCATAGGTAGCCACGACCACAATGTCAAGAGCTGCAGGTCAAAAGAGTATTTGACACTGTAAAATGTACCCACAAAATATAATTACTTTATATAATTCATCACTCAATAAGGACAGTGTATTACCATAATTATGTAAACTGCATAATTCAGGAACACTTCAAAATCAGGAAGGAAACACAGCACATTCATTTATACCCAGCAACCAGTAGTTATCAAGGCCAGATTCTCTTAGGTTACAAAATGGTAAAGCAAGGGACAAACCTCATCCCTCGTGACGACCATTGACTTGACACTTTGAATTGGGTATTGTCCCATGGCTCTCACACGAGGAGCAGGAGAGCGAGATCCCTTGTGGCAGCGTGCATAAAACATTGTTAATTGGGTAGCAAGTATATAAGGAACCCACAGAGAATGTCAGTTATATTATAATACAAATGTAAAAGCTGCAATGGATTAAACTTTAAAAGCATTTAAAAAGCATAATCTAGGAAGAGACCAGGAAAAGTTTTTAATTAAATGAGATATGTACAATATGCAAATTATTCCTTAATCCCAAACGGTAACCAGAATATTCCACCCCAAACACCTGACAAAAGCACTCGATGATTATTATTATTACAGGAGATGCCACATGGCCACAATCGTGTAATTCAATGATAATTACCGATCAGTGTCGGTGTTGTTACTTATAATTATTTTTTTCCTTACAGTGAGAGGACATCACCAACATTTACATTGTACTCTATTTTGGTGGTTGTGAATTGATTTTTGCTATGTCTTTTGTGACTGTAAAGTGCTTCGGCCAGACGATGACCATCGTTCATGCGGATTGCTTACATTGTAGAAGGGAGAGTCTTAATACATCACCATCATTAAAGTGATATATATATATATATATATATATATACATATATATATATATATATATATATATATATATATATATATATATATATATATATATATATATATATATATATATATATACATACACACACTATATCTGAACATTCTAGTATAATGGATTCCCTGAAGATGCCAAAGTTTACTTAGAAATTCTTATGTAAAAAATCCAAACTAATTAAAAAAAAGGTACCGACTACACTACCAAAACAGGAACTTAATCCTTCATATATACTGTTATCACTTCCTACCAATGGTGGACAATACATCAGTAATATTAAAATGACGTATCTGTCTGTTCCAGCAATAGGTTCAAAATGGAAGCACACATGTCAATGGGGGGGGGGTATGGGAGCACAGTGAGTCCACCAGCTGGCTTTTTTTGAAAGGGCACTGTAAGCCCCCCACATGATTTTTTTTTTAAATCTGACCAATATCATGGGCATTTTGATGCCATTTTGAAGCCATGTGCACTTGATATCAAGAGATATTCTGAGGTCAATAGTAATTACATTTTACTCTACTTGTACAAAAATGCCTGAGTACAATACTGACATTAAAGAAAAAGTATTTTAATTTTCTAATGAAAAAAAAAAGGGGGGGGGGGTCCGGGCCACCAGGACCTGCCTCTGATAAGCCCCACGGTTGTACATCTTGGTAGAGTATTACTATTGACCATGGACCCCAAGTGGTCCAGGCAAGAAGCAAAAATCTTTCCCGACTAAAATATCTCCATGCCGATTGTAGGAGGTGGTTACTTATGTCAAGGAGGGCAAACTGTGACAGTCAATTGTATACCTAACTAATGCAAAGTAATGGCAATAAATTTAACTGTACAAACCATACAAGCAAGAACAAGTAAATATTTATACTTCCTGTCTTAGCCCTCTTTTGTTGCTTTCTGCACTAGTCCTGCATCAGTTTCCTCCCTCATTTACACAATCATATAAAATACCTTTACCTCTCACCCTCCCCACACAATACCAAGAAAGTAGTATAGATAATAGACAGATAGATAGGTAGGAATGTGTATACACTTGTCTATAGTTCAATTACAGAATTCCACAAGTTCACCCCAAAAAAGGCATTTTGGTGTTAAAATATAAAAAAAACTGACTTTTAATGTTTTTAAGCCATGCATAAGCAACACTTGCACTCTGAAGTTTTATACTGCATAGTACATAAATAAATAAAGACAACCAGAAAAGGTTCCATACCTCTTTGATGGTCAAGGTGTGGGACATCATCTGGATATTTGACTGTGATTCTGAGGTTGGAAGACCTTCCAGTGATACAGAACGGTTTAAGGCTGGAGTTTCTGGTACATTTGGTTGTCCTATCCCACTGCTGCCTCCTCCCATCATTCGCTGACTTTTGAGGTACATTTCTGTCTGAACCACCACTTTGGTAATTTCCGACTTGCTGAATGCTCGGATACCAAAAGCAGTTTTCAGCAACTTTTGGGGAGAAATCTGAAAAAAAAGTTATGAAAATAATTAACTTATTTACAAACAATGGAAATGTAGATTTATTTCCAGCGACTACATGAAAAAACTATTTAAGGAATCTAAATTCCAAATACTGTATGCAATTCCTAATACTTGTATACATTACAGTATTTCAAATACAGTATGATATTTCTAATAAACATTATTTCAAATGCAGTATGTGATTCCTAAAGCCAAAATTTCTTCTCTTGCTATATACAGGCACAGTATAACTTTTTATTATTAAACATAATTGTCTGAAATACTGTACAGTACTTTTTTTTTTACTTTTAATTCCTTAGACCATTCCACGTTTTGAACATTTTGTAGGTTTGCCCATATAAAATCAAATCACCATAAGTGATGTTTGTTTTTCTTCAGCACATAACTTTTAATTTTTTAATCACACTGGTGTGACTTATTCAGTTCCACTTCCAGCACATATATGGTTTAAAATTTCTCACCTGTATATTTTGGCAAAACTGCATGATCGACTCATTCAGGCCTTTGGATGGGAGGGCCCCGACCATAGCTGGATCATGTGCTACAGCCTTGACAAACAAGTGGAAAATGGCCAGTGCAATTCTTAACATGACTTTTGAACCCTCAAATAGGAAGCAGTCAAGAACACGTACCTATTAAGGAAAAAATGTACATTAGCGGAAGATTCATGATGGGAACTTGGGGAAAGTGAAGATAAGTCATAAAATCATATGTTCCTGTAAACAAATTCTTACTTCATATTGCAAAACCTCAAGTTTTTACTTGTAAAATTTTTATTTGAAAAATATTATCTCACTGACTATTTCTATTTTACATGGACTAGTTTATTAAGATAGTAACATGTTCCTCAAACACCTGATAATCTCCAATGTCCTAAGAATACAAAGACTCATCTGATTGTAAGCAATGTCAAAATATTTTTACAAACTATTTAACTTTTACTAATATAATACATAAATGGGAGTATTATTAAAACCTGTTCATATTATGAAAGCTTTGTGATCAAGGAGAAGAGAAAAAAATGCTATCATACCAAAATCCTCAAGTTGTTTTCCCCCTAAAGGATATTACTGGAAGTATTATGATCAATTATTTTATACTCTGGAATGCTGTGTGAGGACTGTAACCAGAAAGACCTTTAATGTGGTGAACTGGTAATCTGATGTGGTTTCTTAATTAGGATGCCAAGATGTATTATTATATATATACCTAAACTTCTGTAACTACAGTATAAGCATACGTACCACATGTGTGATAGGCAAAGCTGCTAGAATCCACCAAATCCAGCTATGGAATGCCTCCTCAATCTGCTCTTGAGGAACTCCAAATTTGGACAGAGTTGAGAAGGCACCTCTCTGAAGGCAAGAGGTTTTGAAGATTAAGATAATGAACATGTGTACATACAGTATTTGTAAATAATATTCAAGATAGGTACAGCACACAATCTATTTCCTAATTCAATTATGCTGGTAGCCCAAGAGTATCACTAACACGTATACCGGGTATTCATAATTTATAATGTATGAGTGTTTTGCTTATTTCCAGCAATTTTTTTTTCATTAGATTCTTAGGTGTTTCACTCTCTTGCTTAGTCTCACAAATAACAGTTATATGAGAAAAACTCTTTGGCTACCAGGAAGTGAACCACCCTGCGCAGTACAGTTTTGTGTGTCTGAGCCAAACTAAACAATCAGAAAATCTATACTTACGATATGTTTTTTGCCCAGGATCATTGCAGCTCTCCAGTGGGCTTCATTTGCAATTTTAGTTTGTGTAAGAAATTTGTTCTGGGCTCCACTAACAAGAGCTGCCATGCAGTTGTATGCATCCACTTCTGTCAATGGAAACATAGGAGTTTAAACAATGTCTATGATGCTCTAAAATTACTTAAAATAATCAACATTTGTATCTACTCTCCCACAACAGAGCAGGGTGTGCCATAAATTATCATAATATTCTGGCCAATGACATTCTTAATATATCCCTCTCTCAATCAACCTACTGTATATACCTACATAGTACAGTACAGTACAGAAGTATATCATTACTCCTTACTTCTGTTTAGGTGAATGGTAAAGAAATTTTATAAAGAGGAATGGTGCACTGGTGCAGGACAAATGTAGAAAGCCACAGGAGGACGTTAGAACAACAAGTTGTAATTTTTACAGTTCTACACAGAGTAACTTATATCCTTAACTTGAATACATATGGTAGTAAAAAAACAAAGTGAATCTTTGGCATCCACTCTGATCTATATTGGCAACAGTTCACAAAGCATACTATGTTGAGTGAATTGACAATTTCATTTAAGTGTTTCTATCTCAATTTATCTTAACACATACCATCCATGTAATGAAGCAGCATAGAAGTCAGGGCATAAAGAGATGGAGCATAGGTGATGGCAGGGTGACTGAATGCAATGACAGAGATAATCCGTTCACAAGCTGTTACTCCCCGAGGTGAAAGAGAATGTGATATCTTGTAGCTTGTATCAATGAAGGCGGGCATTTGTACGCTGCACTCTGAGAGTTCTGTCAAATTCAGAAAGAGTTAGGTCTCTCCTGTCATCTCATCAAAACTGCTTATAATGTTTTCCACTTTCATGTTTTTTTGCTTCATGTTTCACTGTACAATTCAAGAAAAAATATTTTTAAATACAGTATTCAAAGTAAAAGAAATTGTAAAGTTAAGCAAAATATTTACTAAAAACCTGGGTATTTTTCTACTAAGTTAGCTAAATTTGTGATAAATATTCATATAAAGTCTTGACAAAAAATCTACCTGTGGTTCCATAAATCTGCTTCACACTGTCCCAGTAATAAAAGTCTCCAAAATCCTTTTCAGACGAGTGATGGCGGCACATTTCGCGCCAGAGATTCTCACGCGCTGGACTACCAAGACTCCAGTCAGTCTCCCGAACCATCTGTTTGGCCTGATGAAAAAGAAAATTAATAAGAAAGTCAACTACCACACATTTCATTTATGAATAAAGTCCAAATAACATACACACTTACAAATGTAATGTTATTCATCAGCCCAGTTTGTTAAGGCGCTCATCCATTTGAAAAACACAAATATATAGAGGAACACAGTTCAGTGACTATGACATTTACAGAAAATTTTTATTCTTTTAATTAATATTACCTCTTTCATTCGCCCCGTTTGCATTTGGGTTTTGATATCATCCCATTTGGCCATCGATGTTTCATCTGCCGAGTGTGCAAGATTATGTACGGGAATTCTGGACATGTCCACATGACCAGAGAAGGGTGGGGGGTTGGTTGGTGTCTTGTCATCGGAAAGAGCTTCAGCATGATGGCCTCCTCCAACGGTCATCTTGATGAAGTTGCCAAGAAGCTTAACCTAAAAAATAGGATGTGATCCATGATATTATTAAGAGTTCAGTAATACATGATTACTAGAGAAGAATACTATACAGTACTGTACCAGGTAATTTTGTTTATGATAATTTAGTGTAAATTTCATTCCTTCTACACTATACAGTACAGTATTGTACATATGTATTATAGACTGCAACAACAATTCGTAATGTGTCTGCTGTTCTTAAACAATATACAGTACAGTACTGTACAGTATCGGGTGATCAATAGTGATCTTTAAGTAAGGATGTTAGTGATCAATGCTGAACCTTAGTAAGAGTGCCGGCAGACAATATTCATCATAAACAAAGTTTGTTAATGAACAAATCTGGAAAAATTTACTATGTATTATCATCATCCTGGATCAATATTTAAAGAAGAGATGGAACAATGAAGGTACAGTATTTTTTAAGATTTTTTTTTACCTGTTTCTTTACTTCTGAAATCCGTTTGTTTTTTGTCGATCCGTCAACTGGCCACTGTATGAGGGACTTGGGGTAGGCCGAGATGGGGATTCCCCTGTTGTAGCTCTACACAAGATGAAAGGTGTAAGAATAGGATGTTTTACCTCCTGTATGTACTGTACAAGGTGTAAAGATGATAATTCTAAACCAAAAGGAAGAATTAAAATTTCCATAAATAATAACTATTTTTGAAAATAGAGTATGATAAATCCAGTGTGAAAAACTAATAACTTTCTATACTGGTACAAAGGTCATCAGAGGGATAAGCAATGTATCATGGATGTAAAAAAGTGATTAACAGAGCAGTGATAAGGTTGGCATTTCAACTTCAAAATAAATATTTATACCTATGAATTTATGTCTGGTACCTTAAACTACAACTCATCATCACATTACAATATTGTAAAACTTTACAAATGGTTTGTTGTAGAAACTAAAACCTAGTGAATGGTACAGTACTTAATGACCCCAGCAGTTGAATCATCTACAAAGCAGCTGCAGCATACCTTTACGTGATTGAGATCGAGGATATTTGTTTGATTGTTGTTACTGGCATCATAGAGCGGGTTGTTCCTCTGGACATAGCCACTCTCAACACAGCTGGTGTAAGCCGGCGAGTCACACAGGTCGGGGATAAAGGCGTCTTCGTGTTGTAGTGACCGTCGCCTGCTCTTGTGATGATTATTGTGATGCCCACCAATGCCACTAAGGGTTTGCGGCTTCTTGGTCGAATTTAACCGTGATCGATGAGGGTGGCTGGTGTCCTCATGACTGGTAATACCACGTGTGGCTGCAAAGGCCACAGGGTAAATAAATGCTATAATGTCATAAGTTAACATTTTGACAATTTTGAGGATTTAACTGGAACTTGGAGTTATGGTTGGGTATGAAGGAAGTTATTTGGGGAGTATATAATAGTATGTAGTTGACTGTCAGATGACTTCTCTTGAACCACTTATGAGATGTACTGTACAGTATGTACTTAGATTAATCTGCAACTTGATAAATATGTACAGTACCCTGTACAGAACATGGGTTTAACTGAAAGAACAACCAGCATAATTTAAAACCGGTAAAGAGTAACAGTCAAAGATGTACAAAGATCAGGGATAGTCAAGTTCATTCCTCAAGGTCTCAAGGATAATAGGATTAAGGGTGAATAAGTTTCTGTTGCTTTCACAAGACCTTCCCAGTGTAACTATCAGAAGTCTTTTGAGTCAGTTCTCACACTTCACTTAATAATCTTTCTAGTAAAAAACCTTTATTCATCTCATGCAACAATGAAATAAAGGTGGTATTTCTCTTATAGTTCATAACATCTGAAAATACATAAAATACAATAAGTTGTCACCAGTATTGTTTCATCTTTAATTTTGAGAAGTTACATTGCAGAAGCAGATTTCCCTTTAAGGACAAAAAATCTAAGAAATTAGCCTATCATCTTCCAGGAAACAGTACAGAAAAGGCTGGCTTCTGCTTCGTGACTTTTTAAATGGCTGGCTTCGGCTTTTTGACCTTTCAATGGTTTTGGTCCCATGTCAGAATTCATCATACTGTAATTTATCTAGCCGGCAATAAGCTGCTCAACACAATGATGACACATTGTTCTGTTAATCTTATGAACGCCTCTAAGATTCTAAACCAAGGCTGGTGATCCTTGGCCATAGCCACACCAATATTCATGGAATACGAGGGTTAATGTTATTGTCAGGGCCACTGAATACATGTGTCAACCTGTACATAACCTTACCCAAAGATATTTGGGTAAATCGATAAGGGTTTTTATAATACAGTACTGTACTCCAATGTTGGAAAAATCCGATCCCCTGAAGATTAGGTAACACAGCTTTTAACGTCTGAAAAATACACACAGTAATCCTAACCTAATTACCCCCACCTGCAAGTAGAATTAGTGTGGTTAAGCTTCTGGTGAAATAAGCTGGGAAACTAATCTTCGGGTAATCCCAAATCTAATGTCAAGCATTACCAACGGATAACAACTGTCCCTGCCAGCATATTAACATTGTACACAAAAGGTTTGTGAAAATTCATTAACACAGATACAACCAGAAATTTTAGAAGCGGGACACAGCTTGCCCCAAGCTGTACTAGTTCTGGCTGAGGAGATAATGTTTATCTTGCTCCCTTGTTACTCGTTTACTCCACATACTCACGCCTCACAGGGCCATTTCTGCATTAACCCATTTATGATTACACTCTTGTTTACTATTTAACAAAGCTTATATCTAAACACAAAATATGGTAAACATGGCTTGTTATTGACCGCGATAAATCACACTTGTAGAAACTCCCTCACACAGGGAAAACATGTTTTATAGGCTGTTAACAAGCTTACTAAACCGAGCCGAAAACTTTCATTCCACAAAGACAACAGTATTAGTGTGGTCGTGTATCCAGTAGACTTTCTAACGGATCGGTTACAGAGCACAGCAAAAGAACAACAACACGCCATCACTATATTGTTAACACTACACTCGGTGCACTCCCTACACTTGACCCCCTTATCTGTTGGAACACGATGTTAAAAAAAGTGCCATACACAGCATACGATTGCAAAATCATATATATTTTCAAAGGACACAAACCGACCAAACCCAAACTAATCTAGGATCTTTAGGTTGTATCAGCTAGGATAATTTTGGCTGTTTCGAAACAAATAAATGGTTTAGCGGCTCTGTCCGTGGTATATTTCCAACACCGGCCGTCTCGCCATCTTATCTTCACATCCCATGATGACGTATCGTAGATATAAATTATCCAATCGTGCTTTCAATTGGATGGAGGTTTCGGATAATGCAGGAGTATTAAAACAAAGCCATTATGATCAGATACTGACGCGCAAAACAGAGTCCAGGTGGTCCCATTGTACCTATAATTTTTGTTTTGAATAAATTGCACAAATTTGAGGATTTGAAGAGTACGTATACAAGATTCCAAGAGCGTCGAAAACACATGAATGTTTACTACGTAAGAACATCGAAAATATTATAATTTTCGCTATACAATAACATCGGAAACATTAGAACGTTTACTATTCAAGAAAATCTAAAAAAAAAAGTAAAACATTACAACGTTTACAATACAAGAACATCGAAAATATCACAACGTTTACTATAAAAGGACATCGAAAACATAATAATGTTTACTATACAAGGACATCGATAACATTAGAACCGTAAATACACAAGAATGTCGAAAATAGTATATACAGTACATCTACCAGAAAAATTTAAAATGGCCCTCCCAGACAGCGTAACTTGGCGCCTCCACCGCGCAGACTTCACGCCACTGAACTTAAGAGTCGGAATTATAACTAAGGCCTAATTTCGTATACAAACTCAGTTCACAGGTGCACCAGTAACGACCACAGTTCACAGATAACGACCACAATTCACAGATAACCACTAACGACCACAATTCACAGATAACCATTGACGACCACAGTTCACAGGTGAACCATTGACGACCACAGTTCACAGGTGAACCATTGACGACCACAGTTCACAGGCGCACCAATGACGACCACAGATCACAGGCGCACCAATGACGACCACAGATCACAGGCGCACCAATGACGACCACAGATCACAGGCGCACCAATGACGACCACAGTTCACAGATAACCATTGACGACCACAGATCACAGGTGAACCAATGACGACCACAGATCACAGGTGAACCAATGACGACCACAGATCACAGGTGAACCAATGACGACCACAGATCACAGGTGAACCAATGACGACCACAGATCACAGGTGAACCAATGACGACCACAGTTCACAGGTGGACCATTGACGACCACAGTTCACAGGTGGACCATTGACGACCACAGTTCACAGGTGGACCAATGACGACCACAGTTCACAGGTGGACCAATGACGACCACAGTTCACAGGTGGACCAATGACGACCACAGTTCACAGGTGGACCAATGACGACCACAGATCACAGGCGCACCAGTGACGACCACAGTAAACAAGTCTTGGGCCATTTTAAAAAAAATCATATGGCACATAAATAACACTTTCCAAGAACTTATGAGTAACTTATCTTTCAATAACTTTTGAGACAAGAGAGAGTGAAGATTCTGTACAGGATATGTAAATACACAGAACCCCCACAAATGATCCCAACTAGAAATGTTCTGTTAATACCAGTTAGGAGACGAAAAGAACAGAACATTAGTGAATCTCAACAATGATTGTCAAGAAACTGTATATGTATTTTCTTATAATCTAAATAAATGGTTCTCTCACTTCCATTTTTCTTCCAGCAATACTGCCAAAACAGTAAGTACTGTAATAAAAGTATGTACTGTCCCGTGAGCACTCAACACGTCTTAAGCTATACATCTTAACAGCCGGTTACAAAGTTAAACAGAAAAGTTAACAAATACAATATTAGTACTAATACAACAGAAACTTACCATGGGTTCCCACAGTCATGGTTGCTGGTGAATATCAGAATAACTTATAAAATTATAAATGCAGTTAAAGTTCGTTTGCTATAACAACTTAACGACTGGTACGACAATATACAATATCAACTTGCAATGTCTTAAACACAGTACAGCGCACTTATGAAGATCGAAAATCAGCGACGATAATATTCTCTCTGCATGCGATTCTCATCTTAATAGATGTCTTCGACACAACGTCTCGCTCTCAACTAACAGCTGACCAGCGTTGCTCCTTCTTATAGAAGGTGAGAGAGGTAAGCGACCTTAAGTTGCCAACGACCATTATCACGGCGGCGACCCCTGCAACAAACACTCTCGCCTGAGGTAATCGATTGTCTATCAACGAGTATATGTCTACTAGTGACCTACCTACCAGTCAACTTTATATCTATATAGCCATTATCTTTATCCCCCTCCGCTTATTCAGACTTGACAAGATGGAACAGACTCAAAACACGTCATCATCATTCACAAGGTTCGTACGCTAACTTTCTTCCCTAACTGTACGTGTGGAAACACATCTAGTGTGGAATTATGTCGACATTTTGGTCACCATTTTTGTGCCGTAGTCGAGTCAGATGCGTTCTAACAACACCAGATACGGACAGATTAACTTAACATAGGAACCTATGAGAATCTTTGTGTCGTAGTTTAAGTTACGTGCGCTATAACACCAATTAAATGATAACGCCATAGCCTTGGTAATCCATCTTTAAATCATAGTTAAAGTGAACCAGTTAGACTTGTATTAAGGTTGTTAGGCAAAAGGGAAAACTTAATCTACGAAACTTCTTGAGTTCATCTGTCTCTTAGCTTCAGACGTGTTTTTACTTGAATAATTAAAAATAAAAACATCCCATACGAATCTTGAGAACATCCGGGGCGTGAACAGGAAAGATATACTGCACACCACCCGCCCCTTACCACTAGGAACATTACACAATTTACTCAGTACACTGACGGCCACCTTAAGTTTACCTAACCAAGATTCATCCCCCACACCGCCTGCCTTCTCTACTCTGCCGTTTCCTACAACACCGGCTTAACCCTCTGAAGATGAGTTAATCCACAGTCCTTCAGGGCTGCCACTAAGGTAAGCAAATCCCTGCCGCGCCATACCTGACTTCAAGGGGCCACAACTCTGTACAGTATTGACAGAAAATCCTATCAAATACTGAAACCTTTAGAGATCTGGCTGTAATATACTGTACCTACACAGCCCAATCGGTTAACCAGTATCTGACACACCTAACCTCTAGAGAGAGAGAGGGAGAGACCGAAATTTTTTTTTCGTGGGCTGTGGGGAAGATGCCACCCCCCCCCCCCTGGCCTAACCACTACACTCCACCTGACAACATATCAAAACACTCGCCCGTATTATTAAACATCTTCTCTTGAAGAGGGTCGTCGTGTTTCAACCCGTGTTTTAAACTAAATGAGTCCTGAGGGACACCGCAGTACAGTGCTTAACGGAGTGGTGTGACGGTAAAATTAACTAATTCCACTATTATAAATTAGCAGTACAGTGCTTAACGGGGTGGTGTGGCGGTAAAATTAACTAATTCCAATATTATAAAAATAATATTGGAATTAGTTTAAAACTCGGGTTGAAACACAACGATCCTCTTCAAGGGAAGATGTTTAATAATACGGGCGTAAATCCTGTCATAAATGCAATCCACCAGGTTGGTTGGTGGGATTAATTAACTTGGTTTAGGTTAAGTTTAGTAATTTGAGCTAGATTAGGTTACTTGAGGTGGATTAAGTTACCTGACGTCACAAAAGTTAGTTATTTCCAGGTGTGTTGTGTTTAGTGTGGCAGCAGGCCAGAGTGAACCCTCAGCTGTCTGAAGTGAACACGAATAAATTTCCCACAGCTTCATGAACGCCCAGAGATACAACTTAATCGGGAACAGAAACAAGGGGTATTATATATTTACACATTTATGGTTAAAGAGAAGGAGAAATGCCCATGGAGGGAGGCAAAGAGAAACAGATAAAAAGATGGTAAAAACTTGACAGAGACGAATAGTGACCGAGGAAACGTTGGACCAATAACTGTGGAAAAGGGAGACCCCCAGAGGCCGGTGAACGGAAATAAAGTCACAGGAAAAAAAGACACATGACTTTTACATATATATATATATATATATATATATATATATATATATATATATATATATATATATATATATATATATATATATATATATATATATATATATATATATATATATATATATATATAATGTCATTGCACGTAGGTTAGGTTAGGTTTGTTTTTTCCGTGCCTTTTTTTCTGCCTTTTTTTCCTGGATTCCAAGGCCTACCATTACAGGAGAAAACTCCCGTTGATGTGATGAGATATATTTTACTTTGCAAAATCCTCATACAAGTTCTCATTGGTTCACATGGTGCACTGAAGATATGCAAACAAAGGCAAGGACTTAACAAGGGACAGAACCAAGAGAACTGTTAAATGCTTATTAGTTTTCCTTTTCTTTTATTCTCTTCACCAAAGGATCGGCTCGTTAGCCGCTTGGGCGATCGGTCACGTCTCTGTTACACACTGTTGGCGAGTACTGGGCATGCACCGGCTCCTGAATGTACCTAAACCTGCTCCAGTGTTGGTCAAGTTTTGTCTTGAAAGAGCTCACACTCGGTGCCGTCACAACACTTTCTGGTAGATTGTCCCAAGAGTTCACAACTCTCACTCCGAAAAAGTTTGCCCTCACAGTTTTCTGGACTTTGCGGCTTCTTCAATCTTGAGCTGTGACCCCTTGTGGGGCGAGCGTCCGCCAGCTCCAAGTAAGGACACTCGACTGAGTAGTGACCCTTGAGAAGATTATACACCTCTATTAGGTCACCCCTTGCCCGCCTGTAGTATAAGCTAGGCAAGTTCAGGCGCTCCAATCTCTCAGGGTAGCTGAGGTGCCAAAGGGCAGGCACCAGTCTGGTGGCCCTCCTTTGAGACATTTTCAACCAACTGACAGTCCCAGGTATATCTCGGGGACCAGACGGGGTGACAGTACTCCAGATGGGGAAGCACTTCACTCTTGAAGATCGTTACGAGGGATAGTAGATTTCCTCCACTGTGTTGGACTAAAGGGCGAGACAGTGGAAGTCCCCTCTAGCACCACCACCTACATCACCACCTATACTAACTCGTCCTGCCCGGATTTACTGTATAATAATAGTAAGGTAATTTTCCTCGTAAATAAAAATGTCACTGAAGCTAGAACACAAATATAACATAAAAATTAACTAGGACTGTAACTTAAAAACTTAGTTATTCAACCCTCGAGTCTAAATTCTAAAAAAAAATCAAATGCTGGCCATTCCTCGTAAGTGACAAAGTAAGAATGTACCCAACAATCCAATAATGAAATTAAATTGAAATTCTACATCATCTAGGTACAGGGTACATTCATATAGTAATAGTTTCAGGCAGGAACACTCACAAGTACATTACCTGCTTGAGAGAAATATTTACTCTCACAATACTACTGGACTACACAACACTATACTTTCACATCGTGGCTCGTCGAATGAGCCCAATGTTTATGGTTCGCACTAATCATAACAAGCCTCACCCTAACCGAACACCAACCCAACCCAGCCTAATTTCTTCTAACCATTAGTAATGGGATCGAATACTATTAAGGTCCCACTCCAAACCACCAGGGGCCTATGAGGACTCGGGGCTATTTGATTCACAACACTAAGGCCAAGGAAAACCGGCTTTCCTTTCACTTTAAGTAAACACTACATAACAACTGCTCTTAACTGTTAAGTAAACATTGGAAACATTCGTGACGGGGAGGAAAGTGTGGGGGAGACTTTGAAAGGCAGGAATATGACCGTTATCATTATTATTTGTAGTACCTGTAGTTGTAGTAATAATATTCACATATATCTTTACAACTACCATGGGTTGGTAAAAGGAGCCGTAGAATCTTAATAAACATGCTGTTCTGGGTGATACACGGCGTGAGTGCTGTAGTGTTCCCGTTACCACAGAGACAATAAAAGCCGTAACTCACCCAAATATGATGGGGAAATGGTAATTATTAAACTGAGGGACACATACAGCCGTCATATTCCCGCCGGAGTCGACGTGATAATAACTGGGTAAAGCTTTAATAGAACGTCCAGGATGTGGAGAAACAGTGGAGCATAACGACCACGTTTTTCATTGTGCTAAACTGGGTCACAGAAATCCAACAACACTTTATAATCTGATTCAAATACTCCCTCGAATCTTATTTTTTCTCTGGTGGAAAGAAATTCGAGCGTTAGATTACAATGGCTGTTCGTGAGTCTCTTCATGCGTATCTACTAAGTGCCGGGACGGGAATGACAGTGATAACGGTGTCAGACTTGACAAAAACTGACACTTGAGAGTAGGGGAAATACCGCCTCAGTTTTCCCAAGGATCCTATACCAAGGGAGTCAAAGTCATGGCCCGCGGGCCAAATGTGGCCCTTGGGATAACGGTAAAATTTATCATCCCGAGAAATTATGAAAAAAAAAAATATATAATCATGTTTATTTAGTAAAATGAACTTTACATACTCAAGATCAGACAAACCCAAATGAGGTATTCCTGGTAAACCAGGTAAGGCAATGTGTGAAGCTGTAAACTTCAATCCTGCAAATATATGATATAGCATTTGTGTTGGCCCTTGAACCGGCTGGTTAATTCAAAGTTAACCAGGCTGGTACATTTATATTATACTGGGCTTTAGTAACGAAACCCAATTGTAGTTTCTGCTTTTATTAAAAAGTATTGTTTATATAATTCCTGAGTGTAGATCAATCGTAACTTCCACTTGAACAAGTTATAATCAAGATATCAAATTTTGGT